AGCAGGAATTCCTCTGATGTCGATTCCGAATACCTTTGTTTGCGGCGATGTTGTTGTTGTCGTCGTTGTTGCAGTGAACTGTAGAGTTCGAACAGGGATCATCTCGCCTCGGACCAAACTCATCATCTCTGTACTCTTCTTCCTCGTGACTTCCCTTACCGACTATCATCCTCGCCTGATAAGTACACAACAGCGAAAAGGACAGTCTCTTTGAATCCGCTTCTTCCCTTCTCCTGTTCTTCTTTTACTTCCGTCCGTCTATGCCATCGCCATTTTTCCCGACGAGCTTTGGATTCTCTGGCAAGTCGTGACTCGGCAGGAGCTCTGAAAACTCGTGAGATCACTTTTTAAAGCCAATGCAGAGAGGGACACGTGGACGAACCTGTGTGGTTTTGTTCAGTTAACGAACCGAAGAAGGTGATGGACACGTGGAATTCACGTGATCAGGGTAAGGCCATCACGTTATTCACGTGGTTGATGATGGTTTTCTATTAATTAATTTCATCGTTACAAAATTATTATTATTTTAATTGAAGTGATGGAATTAGTTATATTATTGTTTTATGTAACTAGTCTAATATCGTCTCTACCATATTGCAAATATTTTTCACGAAATTCGGGATAAATATATTTATATAAAATCGAGTATCCGAAAAAAAAATTATAATTTTAGATAGAACAAAAAATATTATATTATATTGGATTGGATAAAAATGTGAATAAAAATATATATGCAAACAATGGAATATGTTCAATGGACTTGTGGTAGATTATGGGCTGAGCGCATTAACAATTTCAAAGCTAAAAATGTGTACGGAAGCCCATAGTCCATATATATATTCAACAACGGCCCCTGACTTGGTGTTTTAAAGGTTCACTATAAAAAATACCCTCTTTTTTATTTTGATTTCAATATATTCTTTTTTTTTAATATGTGATTCTATAATTTATAATATTTTCATCAAATAATTAGTAAGATATATAAAGAATAAATATAATAAATTAACGTGATCATTATAAATTTAACGTTATCATCAATGAGATCAATATATCACCATACTATATTTCTGATAACAAGAATCACTGAATTTAAGTTGGAGAATGATATATGTTGAAATCAAAATATGAAAGGAGATGATATTTTTGATATAATACTGTTTTAAAATGAGGGTTTAAAAATTTTATTTTATATTAATTTAAATTCAGTTTTATAATATACGTTTATTTTATAAAATTATTGTATTTTTATTTACATCAGTTAATTTTTTTCTAAAAATTTTATGTCAATGTTAGTATTGCCACACCTCGCTTGCTTTGTTCCATTCTGTTTTGTTGCACATTTCCAATTTACTATATAACAAAAAAAATATCCACAATAAATTATGCCGACTCGATTATTAAATAAATAAATAAATAAATGCATTGTATATTTGACGTCATTCACCGCCAAAACAAGAGGCCCTTCGCCCATAGAGAAACCTTTGGCTGTCAACTAAGCTTCCACATTTTGATATTCCGTATATATTTTATTTTTTTGTATTTATTATTTGTCATTATCTTTTTCTCCCAAAGCTAGATTTATGTATGTGAATTTATACTTGATATGGAATTAGAGATTATTATTGCTATTATTTGAAAACTTAATTTTTTGACCAAATCAAATTCCCATTTACTGCTTCATGGTTTACACAACGGTCCACAACTCTTTCTTTTTTTCAAATGTTAATAACATTTTTTTTTAATTTTGGAATTTATTTGATGTATCGTTGAGCAAGTTGCTGGCGTCTTTATAGGGAAGAGGGAATCTAGTGACGTGGTGACGTGGCAGAGCCTGTGTTTTTGAACTCCAGTTATTGTCGTGTTGCTCATGCTCTGCCTCATTTACATTGAATCGATAAATAAATTATTTCAATAACAAAATTATCTGTTATTGTTCGGTTTTTAGTTACTTTTTTAATTAAAAAGAGTTTTATAAATATTTAGAAAAACTAAATTTATAAAATCTTGATTATATATATTTTTTAAGATTTTAAAAACTCCAAAAACTTTTTTCATTCAATCCTTAAATATTAAATATTTTGCATAGGGAAAAAAAAATAGTATTTTCATTAAATTGATGTTTCTTTTTCTATGAGCGATGAAGTCACTTACGGGAAATGGCAACGCACGCATTTCATCACTCGATCAAAAGCTCCAATACTTCCAAAAATATTCCCACTTACCCCATATAGCTGACTGATTAAGTTTGGGATAGAAAATAACTCCACCTCGAAGTTGAATGTTTTATATGATTTACATACAAAGGTTGCTACCGGACCAGAGGTTTACCTAGTCAACACGTTCGAAGGGTAGCAGAGATCCTCCGTTATAAAAAAAAATATATTCCCACTGTTTTGTTCACAATAATATTCTGTAATTTCGAATAATTTTATAACACAACAGATATTCATCATGTATAAATTCCGCTCCTATTTTCTATATTTACGCATATATATTAAATTTAAAAGTTAGCATACTAATTTTCAAAGTGAATAATGATGTTATTAACAAGAGAATTAGACTTTCCTCAGAGTAATTTAAAATGGTTTGATTTTTGTTATATTAAAAATAATTTTGTATGAGAAAGAAATTCTCCTGAAGATGGATAACGATTCTATTTGAATATCTAAGCAATTTTATATACTTCTATCACTTATTAGTATTTATCAAACAGGACTAAAAAATTAACATAAACTAATTGATTTTTATGAATAATCCAACATGGGCCGGTGTTATTCATGTGGGACCCAATTTTCGGTACTTTATTGGGCCACGTAGATTAAAAGTGACACGTGGCAGGATAAGACCGAACTCACTCCCAACGAACAAGTGAATCACCGTCACGTGTTCAACACAGTCCTTTGCATTTAGTCGCCTCCACGATCTTGTCCTGTCTTTATGAATTGAATTAAAAAAAACAATTTTTAATAAAAAAATGACGGTAAATAATACGTATTTGGTATTAATAAGAATACGACGGGAGAATTTCTTGAAGGCAATTTTTAATATTATTAGTGTATTTTAAATGCGCCTGCATAAAAAAATAAATAAATTATAGTTTAAAAAAATATATGGCTACATAATCAATTCGCTATGTCCGAAAATATCTAACATGGGGCGATGAATGGTTCAGCACCTCCACTCCGTCGCGCCCAAACATGGTGGTTTAAATAATTTATTATTTTGATATTATATATTTTAAAATTTCGGTAATTAAATTATTTGGCATACACATCTTATTATAGTCCAAAATATTACACGAACGATTTTTTGGTCGGTCACCAAGGACAAAGATTGTTACGAGAGAGGGCTATTACAATGATTCTATTGTTATAATAGCATAGATTCATATTTTAAAGATGGAATGAATAAAATTAAATCACAAATAATTACATCTTAAATGAATTTTATTATAAATATTTGTAAAAAATTAATAATTATTTCTAACAAAATTTAAAAATCAAATGTGATAAATAGTTTAGTGGTAATGTTTTCAAAAAGTTATAATCGAAACATCCATCACATAAAAAAAAAACCATACAACGATTAAAAATCATGGGTGGACCCTACTCATGCTTTTGCTTCTTATTAAAGTCTAAAAAGGAAACGTTACATATCTAATCATGCTTACTGTTTCTTAATTAAACACTAAATCTCTGTCAAGTGTATGTATACGCGACACGTGGAATATATTTATAATTTTCTATTATTTTTTTTAAAAAAATTGAGTGGAGGATGATGGCACTCTCTCGGTTTCATGGTGTTTCCAATGTATGTGAATATCCCAACATCGTATGAATGGTAAATGGCAGGGGGGGGGGAGAGTCTTGAAAACGAAGCGAGGGCAAAAGTGTCTAATTATAAAATCCGATGGACCATAACGAGGTCGACATTGCGATCCCACTGTGTTTTCTCTCAAATGATGCCGTGTCTGTTTTGGACCGATCGTATATAATATAGTATTTGATACTCGATTTATTTTTTTAGAATAATATTATCCAAATTTTTATTTTGTTAAAAACCATGAAAATTTCGATGTCACGTCACATTAAAACCTCATAAATACCATATATGTATATAAATGTACATCTTTCGCTAAAATTATTTCATTCCAACTCTTAACAGAAACCATCGAGAGAGCAAGCAATAATATATGATACCTGTAATTATAATTCTTCACAACAAAGTATACAGGTGGACCTATCCTAAGATACGCAGAAACATTGTTGAAATACCCCTAAACGAAAAAGAAGCAAAGTCATTAGATACCGTAGAGTGTAGGGGTAGTTTCGGCAATTTGAGATATGTCCAAAATTTAATTCCTATCATTTGTTTTTTTGCTGAGACTGGCCCGATTGAGATGTTTGACCTAGCCTCGTCAAAATCCCTATCCCTATTTTCCACGTCAGCATCCTCTGTTTCTTAGCCCCCAAGACCCGGAATCCATTGGACGGTGCTCGTTTCATCATCGGTGTTGAATCGGACGGCTGTCATCTCTCGTTCTAGACTCTTCCTAGTTCGAACCACGACGGAGAGAGGGAATGGGTTTTCATTTTATTTATTTCGGATTTTTTTTTTCTGTTTTAATCTCCTTAACCATGGTTAGATTTTAACCCATGAGGGTTACACGCGGTGGGGGTTAAAGGTCTGTGTAAGTGGAGAGAGAAGGCGGGCGCAGGAGGGAAAGATAGGAAGAGAGAAGCAAGCAGCTTCGAACGACGACTGGCTGAGTCGACTCTGAACGATCTCATTATCTGTTTTGGTTCTTCTCTGCTCATTCGCATTCGCCTCGTTGAATCCAAATCTCTCCACCGTTAATTTTCTCCGTTTCGTTTAGCTCATCGGCCCGTCACTCGTTCTTGAGCCGTCTACGGTGGTTAATCGCCGGCGCGTCACCTCAGATCCCGTCGAGTCCGGTGAGTTCTCTTTTGGAATACGATTGCGTAGTTTGTGTTATTTTATCGAGAAAAGAGCCTTTTGGATGAGGTTTTCTATCTGATTTTCGGTTTTTTGCGGATTCTTTGGTTTTAAGTTTTCTTGATTTTTGTTTTCATGTTTTGTGATTTTGGAATGCTGTTTTTCTTGAGCTACGAGCTTTTTCCGATTGCGTCAATGGCGCGAGTTCAAGGTAACCGAGGTTTCTCCGACGGTGTAGGGTTTTAATGGTATTATTTTAATTTGGTCCAAACATGGCTTCGACTACGTTCATTGAACGGTGTTTTTCTATTACGGTTTCCTTTTTTCGTCAATTTCTGCAACTAATGTGGAAGAAGATCCACCAAATTTACTTGTACACGCATGGAATTTCGATCTGGAAGTTTTGGAGGCACATTTGTGCAAGTTTTCGTGTTAGTTCTAATGATTTCTTGTTACCTATTATATTGTCGTCTGTTTTTACTCACTCTCGATTGTGTTTCTTGCAGATTATTCACTCTGATGATCTGGGCTTTAACCATGAACGGTGTGGCTTGCTGCGGAGTCTGATTCTTTGAAGCGGAACCATTTTTTGATTTGGGATTTGGTTCTGGATCTTGCGTCTGATAATTGTTTTTAGGGCTGGAGTAATAGTATCTCATTGAACTGCTCCTGTCTGTGAGGGAAGAAAATCTCCTCTGCAGCTGTCTTTGCTGTTAGATTGCAAAGGCTTGCATTTTCATGTCTCGTAAGTTGGAGAGTCCTGTCCAGACACAAATGGCAGTTGCACTTTTGAAGAGCCCCCTCACCGGGGAATTCCACGACTCTAGCAAGATAGGAGTGAAGACACCCGTGGGTCGGAGACGGGTTTTTGTCCAAACAGAGACTGGTTGTGTTCTTGGGTTGGAGTTGGATCGTAGCGACAATGCTCACACTGTGAAAAGAAAGTTGCAGATTGCACTTAATTTCCCCACAGACGAAAGCTCACTGACCTTTGGGGATATGGTGCTAAAAAATGATCTCACCGCTGTCAGGAACGATTCCCCACTCCTCCTAACCCGAAGCAATTTCCACAGGAGTTCGTCCACTCCTTGCCTTTCACCATTAGGGGCTGATGTACAGCAGCGGGACCGGAGCAGTCCTATCGAGATTCTGGGACAATCTGAGAGATTTCCTGTCGTAAAGCAGATGGTTAAGGATATTACAAAGGCGATGAAGAGGGGAGTTGATCCACTCCCGGCAAATGGTGGCCTTGGAGGGGCTTACTACTTTAGGAATGTGAGGGGTGAGAGTGTTGCCATTGTTAAACCAACTGATGAGGAACCTTTTGCTCCAAACAATCCAAAAGGGTTTGTTGGTAAGGCCCTTGGGCAACCTGGTTTGAAGCGGTCGGTGAGGGTCGGGGAAACAGGGTATCGAGAAGTTGCAGCCTACCTCCTCGACAGGGATCATTTCGCAAATGTTCCTCCTACCGCCCTTGTGAAGATCACTCACTCGGTATTCAACGTCAACGATGGGGTGAACGGAAACAAGCCTACTGGTAAGAAGAAGCTGGTCAGCAAGATTGCTTCCTTTCAGCAGTTCATACCCCATGATTTCGATGCCAGCGACCATGGCACATCCAGCTTCCCTGTTTCGGCTGTGCACCGTATCGGTATTCTAGACATAAGGATCTTCAACACGGACAGGCATGCAGGAAACCTTCTGGTGAGGAAGCTGGATGGCATCGGGTGTTTTGGTCAGGTGGAGCTTATTCCGATCGACCATGGTCTTTGCTTGCCTGAAACCCTGGAGGACCCATACTTCGAGTGGATTCATTGGCCTCAAGCATCGATCCCGTTCTCAGAAGACGAGCTCGAGTACATTGGGGATCTCGATCCTTTAGGAGATTGCGAGATGCTGAGAAGGGAACTTCCCATGGTACGGGAGGCTTGTCTCAGGGTTCTTGTTCTTTGCACGATTTTCCTAAAGGAAGCTGCCGCACATGGGCTCTGTCTTGCCGAGATCGGCGAGATGATGAGTAGGGAGTTTCGTTCAGGAGAAGAGGAGCCGAGTGAACTGGAACTGATATGTCTGGAGGGGAGGAGGTTGATAGGGGAAAGAGTATCAGTTTCTTCTCCGAGGTCAGACTTAAGCGGTGATGCCGAGTTCCAATTCGACATAGACTGTGAGGAAGCGATACTGGAGTCAGATTACACGACAAAACCGCCATCCCCACGCGGATTCACTCTTGGGAATGGCCGTCTTCCACTGTCAAGACTGGAAGAAACCATCCAGGAGGAGGAGGAAGAAGAAGAAGAAGAAGGGGAAGAGGATGATAGCGAAGCAGGTGGTCGGGAGAGAATGCTGACAAGTTCAAATCTTTCAATGTCTCTGAAAAGCGCAGTTATGGGAGGAGACAAGAGATCGGAGACAGCAATGTACGAACAGAGGAGGAGTGCGAACGAGCAGATTCCGGCGAGCGCGAGCTTTGTGAGGCTGTCGGACATGGACGAGGAGGAGTGGGCGGTGTTTCTGGACAAGTTCCAGGAGCTGCTGTACCCGGCCTTTGCGAAACGCAGGTCATTCACCATGGGGCAGAAGCAGAGGCTGAGGCTTGGCACTTCCTGCCAGTTCTGAGTCAGAAGACAACTTAGTTGGTTTTGGTTACAAAGAGGGGGGGCTGCTTGTGGAACTAGGAGGTTAGAGTTGGAGCTTGAAAGGGGTTTTTAGGGTTTAAACCCCCTCCTCTTGTTTTCTCGTCTCTTTTACTTCTTTCTCGTGTAAACTTCTATGTCACGACGTTATATATATAAATAAACTTTGTAGAATGAAAAAAATTGAAAACTAACTGTCTCTTTTACTTGTTTTTTTTTTATGGCATCTCACGAGTTGTCATTTTGGTTTAGAAAAATTATAATTGTAAATATATTTTTCTAAATAAAATGTATGTTTTTTTAGAATGGGCCTTAAGCCCAATTAATTATAATTGAAAGACCCAAAAGTATCTAAACCTGAAGACACGAGACTTCCAAGGTTTTATGGAGGGTTTATTGGCGGCTGTTCTTCGCGGCGCCTTCTCTCTCTCCCTCTCCCAGCTCTGGGTTTCAGATTTGTACTATTTCTGTTGTTCGTTTAAGATTTTTTTCTTCTTAAGGTTACTTCGCCGACTCATGTGCCTTTGAGGTTTTCCATTGTATCACTTTCTCGGGGATATCCGGAATTTGAGCCCCCCCTTTTCCGGGAAACTTGATTATCGTATTCATTCTTTTCTTTTTCCCTCTGATCCGTTTGATCACTGAATCCGAAGACCCACTAGGCTGAAAAATGTGGAGGAACTTCGCCAAGCGAGCTTCTTCAGGAAAGATTAAGCCTTTCTCCGATTCTGCCTCCTCTTCTTGCTCCGTCAGAGCATCTCAAATCCCTCACTTTCTCGGGAAAATTGCGTCTCCGGTTCCCGTAACTCGGTTGAAGCCTTCGTTCCATGATCTGGGTTTTCGTCGAACCGGATTGTCTACCATTGAGCTGGGAAGATGCAGCTCATTTCAACACTGCGCTTACTCTGCCGCGTTCGAAGGGTATGCTACGGCTGCAGAGGCGATCGATTCGACGGACCCTGAAGATTATTCGTCGGGAACTGAAGAAATCCCGGAACTGATCGAGGAAATGGGCAGAGAAGCCGACAGAATCAGCAACAAGGAGGTTTTTCCAGGAAAACAACAGCCCAAGAGAATGGTCGGAGGCTTGGGAGCGGCTAAGTACTATATGCTCAAAAGGAGACAGATTAAGATGGAGACAGAAGCTTGGGAAGAAGCGGCGAAAGAGTATCAAGAGCTTCTCGAAGATATGTGTCAGCAGAAGCTCGCACCGAGTTTACCGTACGTGAAGGCACTCTTTCTCGGCTGGTTCGAACCTCTGCGTGACGCGATTCAGGCGGAGCTCGATTCGTTCAAAGGTAAGAAGATGAAGGCTCCTCACGCGCCGTATATGGAGCAATTGCCGGCTGATATGATGGCTGTTATCACTATGCATAAGATGATGGGTTTGTTGATGACGAACTCTAAAGGCGTTGGCAATGTTAGGGTGGTCCAAGCCGCTTGTCAGATCGGTGAAGCTGTTGAGCATGAGGTGGGCATGGTGTTTTCATTGCTGCATTTTGGTTTTTGAATCATATTTTGACTTATTATCGTATGTTGGTAATGTTTCCTTTGTTGATGTTACCATTCTATGAGTTCTCCGGTGGAAGAATACGGTCATTGTGGATAGAGTTTTCTACGTTTTTCTGCAATATGGTTGTTTCCTAGTCAGAGAGCTCGATATCATTCTCTCACGAAGCTGATTGGTTTAGGATAAAGTTTATGCCTTTTTCCCAAAAGCTAGCGGTTCTAAACCTGGATTGTTTGAAGTGGAATCCGCATTGCTTTTGCCATCGTTCCTCGGAGATCTGATTTGGTTTCCACGTTTTTTTTTTCCCGAAATTGCTGTCTCTTTGGTCGATCAGGCCATGATCAATAGGTTTCTGGAGAAAACAAAAAGGAAAAAGAATGCAACGCACAAGACAATCAGTGGTGAGTCAGAGCCCGTGTATGAAGCAGGACCTCAAGTAACTAAAGATCAGGAAAAGCTACGGAAAAAAGTTTCGACACTGATGAAAAAGCAGAAGGTGAAGCAAGTAAGAGATATAGTGAAGGTACATGACCATTCCAAGCCATGGGGTCAAGAGGCTCAAGTCAAGGTTTAGTTACTTCCAGACTTGTCAATGCGGCCTGCTCTTAGCCATTTCAATTGTTCTTCTTCTTTTATTTCTTTTGTGATTTAGTTTGGGCTCTCTTGTATTTCTAGGTTGGTTCGCGTTTGATTCAGCTTTTGATGGAAAATGCATATATACAACCTCCGGTTGACCAGATTGGTGATGGTCCACCTGATATCCGACCTGCTTTCGTGCATTCTCTTAAAACCATTACAAAAGAATCTACGTAAGTATTATGCTCCTTCAGTTTTTCTCACCATCTCTCTCTCTGTCCACTCTCCACTGCCCAACCTATGAACATTCTGTTGTATTTTCCTTTAGGAAAACTGGCAAGAGATATGGTGTCATTGAGTGTGATCCTCTGATCCAGAAGGGGCTTGAAAAAACAGTAAGTATAAAGTTGTTTCTATTTTTTTAATGGAGGTCGTCGAGGTGTGTTTATGATGCCTGGTTTGGAAGGCATTTTTTGTACATGTACATTAAAACATTTCAGACTGAGTCTGACAATCTCTCCGTTCTTTTGGTTTCAACAGGCTAGACATATGATCATTCCTTACATGCCAATGCTCATTCCTCCTCAAAACTGGTCTGGGTATGGCCTTTGGTTTTCCCATTTATAGAAAAAGTCATTGTAGTTGACTGATTGTAAGAATATAAAGTTGTTTCTATTTTACCTTTGCTATTTTTTACACATTTATATTTTTCATAGATTATCCTACAACGTATCTTACCTCGTGCAGCTTTTGTTCAACTTATATCTAGAATTTTTTCCAACTTGTTTCCTAGAATGGCTTAGTAACTTGGCAGAACTTTGTAGGTATGACCAAGGCGCATACTTTTTCTTGCCTTCATACATCATGAGAACACATGGAGCTAAACAACAGCGTGTTGTCGTAAAAAGAACTCCCAGGCATCAAATGGTGCCAGTTTTTGAGGTCTGAGGTTCTTTCTGTGTTATGATTTCTCATGTCTGAAGTTATCGTTCATTTTCTCAATATACTTTGGAGGAGTGATATTAATTGTGAATGTGTAATTCCTCGGTTTTTAATCAGGCACTAGATACCCTAGGAAACACCAAATGGAGGATAAATCAAAGGGTATTAAGTGTGGTTGAGAGAATATGGGCTAATGGAGGTGGTCTGGCTGATCTGGTTGACTGTGAAGATGTGAGATTTCTCTCTCTCTCTCTCTCTCTCTCTCTCACTCCTCCCTATTTCTCCATTCTTTCTCTCCTTTTTCTGACTCTTGTTCTCATTTACTCCATCATCTGCGAAGAAGCCTTTCTTTTTTCCGGTTACTTGGTTCTTCGATTTGGGTCCTTTGGTATTTTTCTTACCCTTTTATGAACTCCAAAAAGGTGCCCCTTCCGGAGGAACCAGACACTGAAGATCAAATGGAAATTCGGAAATGGAAGTGGAAAATGAAGGATGCAAAAAAGGAAAACAGTGAGAGACACTCACAGCGGTGTGATATAGAGCTCAAACTTGCGGTAGGAGAACTGTCTTTTTTATACACTCTTTTCGGCCACTATGGTTTATGAAAATATCATTGATCCTTTATTTGTGAGCAGGTGGCGCGTAAAATGAAGGATGAGGAAGGTTTTTACTATCCTCACAACCTTGATTTCCGGGGCCGTGCATACCCCATGCATCCGCACCTGAACCATCTTGGTTCTGATCTTTGCCGAGGTGTCCTGGAATTTGCTGAGGGAAAACCTCTGGGAGAATCAGGATTGCAGTGGCTAAAGATACATTTGGCAAATTTATATGCTGGTGGTGTGGATAAGTTGTCTTATGAGGGTCGTATCGCATTTACCGAGAATCATTTAGAAGACATATTTGATTCTGCTGATAGACCTCTTGAAGGAAGAAGATGGTGGCTTGATGCAGAGGATCCTTTTCAATGTTTGGCTGCTTGCATTAACCTTACAGAAGCCTTGAGAAATCCTTCTCCCAAGACCACTATTTCTCATATGCCTGTACACCAGGTACTCTCTTGAAACTTCATTCATCATTTTTCAAAGTCAGGAATGTCTGAGCTGTCTAGGTTTTGGTTCTTGGTTTTTAGATGAAACCTTTGGTACTGGGAATTAGATACAGGTTTCATATATTTTCCTTTTTTTCTGCAGCTTACTCTCAGTATCCTACCCATGCTTGATCATTTTATCATTACCATGCTGGAACATGAGTAATAGAAACATTTTTGTCCATGGATGTTTCTGCTAGTAATATTAATATCGAGATTCTTATTGCTTTTGGTTTATAATTATCTATGCAGTTCGAGTACATTTCTTCTAAGTTTATCATCATGTATTCCCATTGGGTACATTATCTTATTTTTCCTGTGTTATTTCCTATTGCTAGGACGGTTCATGTAATGGTTTACAACACTATGCTGCGCTGGGGAGGGATAAGGTATGCTATTATTTAATTTTCTTAGTAACTGTTGTCTATATGTATATGGTATGCCCCGAATTTTTCTAATTTATCTTCTCGATCGATATTTTCCTTAGTTGGGAGCAGCTGCTGTCAACCTAGTTGCAGGAGAAAAGCCTGCAGATGTTTACTCAGGAATTGCATCCAGGTACTCTCTTTCTGTCATTTTGTCCCTGGTTGTCTTGATGTCTCTTGTCATATTTCTATACATATATGTGCTTGAACATGCGTGGCTGATGGAGGAGGACCCCACATTACTGAGATATATTTACTGATGAAATAAGAGAAGAGGGTTTCCTTTTACATGATTAGTAATTTCTTCGCTGTTTTGATTTAGGGTTCTTGAAATCATGCGGCAGGATGCAGAGAAAGATCCTAGTACACATCCAAATGTCGCATATGCCAAACTCTTAATCAACCAGGTTTTTGTTTCTTCCTCCTTACTAGACGATTGTTGTTCAACTACTTATACTTGATAAATGTTAAGCACTTGTTTGGTAATCCTTACTGATGAATGGTACCCAATGATTGAAATTCCTTAGGTCGACAGGAAGCTAGTTAAACAGACAGTTATGACATCAGTCTATGGAGTTACATATATTGGTGCACGTGACCAAATCAAGAGAAGATTGAAAGAACGTGGTAGCATTGGGGATGATTCACAAGTATTTGGTGCATCTTGTTATGCAGCGAAAGTAAATGAGACTTTGCTTGCTTGGTTTTGGGCCACACTTTTGTATTACTGCATATGTGCCTACAAACCCTCTGACATCAATTAATAACTCATCGAGATTCTGTTTCCAGACAACTCTTACAGCCTTGGGGGAGATGTTTGAGGCAGCTAGAAGCATCATGAGTTGGCTTGGTGAATGTGCAAAGGTCAGATCTGTTATTTTATCTGTTCCTTTCTGGTCCTGTCATTGTTGATTTTAATGTAAAATGCAACCCTTTTGTAAGAAATCTGTAGTTTAAAATGAACATGGAGTGCTGAAAGAGGTTAACTATACAAATGGCTCTGTATTGTGTCCTTTTTCCAATAACACGGGCATACTCTAATAGTGTCATTTTCAGTTTGAACATTTTATTAATGAGAGCTACTTTATCTGGTGGACAGATAATAGCGTCGGAGAACAAACCAGTTTGTTGGACCACTCCTCTTGGACTTCCAGTTGTGCAACCCTATCGGCAGTTGGGAAGGCACCTGGTAATACTATAGTCAGATGGGGCATTTCTTTGATATTTTACAAAATGGACTACATGGCTCTTAGATGGCTGAAACCCAAGTCTTTCATCATTTGCAGGTTAAGACTTCCCTTCAGGTGTTGACACTACAACGAGAGACTGACAAGGTACTAAACCTTACCATCTCATATTCTTTTTAGTCTACATTGCCTTGTATATACGCATGTCTTTGAATTAATAGGGAATTCCATTTACTTTTCTGGAGAAAGAATAAAGATCATTATGCAGTATTTTGGGGTTGTTAGTTCACCCATAGATATCCCTTTGAACTTTGTATTTGTTGAGCAGTATAGTGAATTTTTCTGTTCCCTCTGTGTTTTATATTATATTCTTGGTTCAGATCATGGTGAAGAGGCAGAGAACAGCTTTCCCACCAAATTTTGTGCATTCTCTTGATGGGTCTCACATGATGATGACTGCAGTTGCCTGCAAAAGAGCAGGCTTGAGTTTTGCAGGTTTGCGCCATAGTTTATTTTCTTACCGTTTCCCTTCCCAGCTTAATACATCTGATTTAGTTGATTTTCTTACTGTTTGTCCCGATGTCTAATTGCAGGGGTGCATGATTCATACTGGACTCACGCATGTGATGTTGAAGAAATGAACAGAATACTGAGAGAAAAGTTTGTGGAGCTCTATGAGGCGCCAATATTGGAAAATGTAAAGAACCCTTATATCTTCTAGAGGGCACACACTCACCTGCACAAACTTTCGGCTTTTCATTCTCTGTCCCTATATGAAACTCATCATTGGTAGCTTCTGTTTGTCTTGACAGTTGTTGGAAAGCTTCCAGAAATCCTTCCCAAACCTTACTTTTCCACCACTTCCCGACCGTGGTGACTTTGATCTGAGGGAAGTCCTCCAGTCACCTTATTTCTTCAACTAGTAGTCTCTGCAGCAGATCACTCATTATTGCCAGTCCATTTGAAGAAAACTATCTACAGCTTCATCCAACTGCAAGGTGTTCATCATACTGGTTCATTCTATAGCCCCCACTGATTGAGAACTAACAAGGAGGAAGGTTCTTATCAACCATGTCTGAGGAATATGCAGAGGTTTCATACTGATCTAAACCCTCCTGGCCATCCCTTTGTTGTAAATATTCAAAGAGAAGAGTGTTGCAGACCTGGCAGGAGGCCCTGACTCAAGATTCTCCTCCTCTGTCACTCCACATTCAGCTCACTTGTTCCTTGCTATTGTTTCATGGGCAAGTTTCTGATATATCAACAAATAAAGGGTTCATCTTCATCACACCAATTCTGTGGAGTTAAGTCTTGTTCAACGAGTCATGCAAGGGAACAAGGTTGAGTAAAAGCACGGCATGTGTTCTTCAAAGTCTGCCCCATTTCTCATAAGTTATAGCAGGTCTTGTTGAGTATATAACTGTATTCACAAGCTGTCCATTTTTGTTTGCTTGGCCATTTGTAGCTCAAATTTCACAGCAAAAAGATTTTGTGTTAGAATAGTTACAGGTTACTTGTGCTGCCTTTGTGGCTTTCTTGTTTTGTAACAAATCACAAATCTTTCTTTGGAAAAAGATCAACGAAGCGTTTCTAACAAAGCATACATATATATATATATATATATGTGTATATATATATATGATTAACCAGTTCTCATTGACATTTTAGGCTAACATGTTGTCCATTACCCCAAGTTGAGCTTTTCATCCATCAAAATCTTAAGCATGAGAAAAAGAAAATACAGATTCTACAGTTTGCAATTTATTATATTTCAAGCAAAGTTGTCTCTTCACGATCCAACCATAAATTGTAACATACATCAATCAGGCATATATATGAATAGTAAATATACAATCCCCCTTTTTTTTTTTCTAAAATGCCAACCAACAACTCCAACATATTTTATTCAGCACTGATGGAAGGGAATATAAAGTCAATCCTAATCAATGGCAGCTCTTACCAATTCCTGAAGGGGTCGCTTTCTTCCATATGAAAGAAAAAAACAAACAAGAAACCATGAAAATGACATTTGAGAACACAAAGAGAGAGAGAGGAAAACTTTCAGGCCAACCAACCTTCTCTTCTCAGAGTATTGACCCTTTGCCTTAATGGAGATCACGTACTGTGATGAATACTTGATAGCAATCTGTAACAGGAACACAATTAGCAAGAACAAAAGGAAACATTTAAACTAGACTTAACATTGGAGATGGGGCCAAATGACTCGATCTTAAGGATCTTCTCAGTTGTACATTCATGACATTAGTGGAAGACTCACCAAAGAACTTCGCGTTGAACAAGTAAGTGCTTCTTCTGTGATAATGGACTCCTTCAACTCTTCCATGGTACCTTGAGACATGAATGATGTCAACATCTGTGTCTCCAAAGTCTTCTCTTTTATCGGAATAAAAAAGAAACCTTTGATGGATTCCATGGGGACTAATGTTTCTCCAGCATCTCTCAGGAACAGAGGAGCTTCAAAAGAGAGTGGTATAAAAGCGGTTTCAATGGGATGTCGGTGAGTTTTCTTCAATCGTCTCTTGTTTTCTTTCCTTAGAGCTTCAACAGAAAACTTTACCGTTCTTCTGATCGTCCCAAACCTACAAGGAGAAGTTTTCGTGAGACTTGCACATAAAATTCTTCACCTTTCTCCATCAATTTTCTGTTTCAGATTGGTGAAGACACAGCCAGAACTGCAAGATTAATTGAATCCTTGTTGGAATCCATTTCTGAGAAAATCATATTTTTGGCGAGCAAAAAATCAGAAAAGAAGGGTTTTCTTGAATGTGCATGCTACTTTTATCGAGTTTCAGTTGTGTTAATGGAGATACAGACAGCCGAGACTGAGAGCGTCCTAATAAGTTCAACTGATATTCTTGAATCTCTGTCAGATAGTATAGATGAGGCCAAGAATATCATTGAAAAATACCAAGAAAGTAATGGAGAAGAATCAGCCACTAACCTGAGCAGCAGCATTGAGGAAGAACTTGAAGGCATTGTGAAACAGATTGGTGAAAACTTGCAATCCATACCAGAATCAACATTCGATGATCAAGAATATGCAGGACGTGTTGTCCAATCTCTTTCAAAAGAGATGTTGAATGCTAAATTCGGGGATAGCAAAAGCGACATCCCGGAAATTGTGCAGCACACAAAGCAGACACCTTCAGGTAGCAAAACACTAGAAACAATGTCAGAGCAAATAGAGACAGATCTCTATCCCACTGATCCAGAGGTTTCCTATGGAAGTTGTTTGATCTCAAGTGAATCAAAAGTGACTGAGATAGAAAGCAGCCCAAGCCAGAGTACATATAATAGCAGCCAAAGAAATTATGGGAGGCTAACCGAATCCTTATCAATGTTACCACAGGTGACACAGTTCATCGAGCCCCCGTACCAAGCGTTCATCTGTCCATTGACTAAGGAAATAATGGAAGATCCAGTCACCATAGAAACAGGAATCACCTGTGAAAGAAAGGCAGTAACAGAGTGGTTTGAAAGATTTATAAACCCTGATGAAATTTACTGCCCAGTTACAGGGCAAAAGTTGAAACCCGGAGTAAGTTCCAACATTGCCCTGAAAACCATCATTGAGGAATGGATAGTAAGAACCTCCACAAACTAGGAGCACAAAATTCATGGCAACACTTAGCATGCCAAGGTCTTTGTCCATCGGGTCATCAAGAAAGAAGCAAATACAGATTTGCCCGATCCATAGGGGGGTATGTTCTTCAAAGAGCACATTTTGCTTGGTAGAAGCAAACACAGTCACAAAGCTTGTGGCATGTTTGCAGAGTGATAAAGTCGAAGTGGTGGAAGCTGCATTATCTGCAATATGCACACTACTAGATGACAAAGTAGATGTAGAGAAAAGTTTGAGCACGCTCAGTGAAATGAATGTAGTACAGCATGTCCTGGATGCAGTCAAAGAACACAAGAAAGAGACTCTATTACAGAAAGCATTTTGGATGATTGACAAGTTCCTGACCAGAGGAGGAGATAAATACGCCTTAGGCATATCGCAAGACAGGATGCTCACAGGGATGTTGGTTGGCGCCTTCCACCGCGAAGATGGTAACACAAGGGAGATGGCTGGAAAGAGTACAACAAGGTAAAAGTATGTGAAGCTGGCATACTCCAGTTGCTTGACAAATTCCTGGTGTACAGAGACAAGGATGTGAGGTATGAAGTTCTGGAGCTGTTACACAAAATGGCAGAAGACAGCAATGCTGGAAAGGTTAACTCTTATATTTATAACTCTAAGCAAAAATGGTAGCTTAGTCACATGGTCACAAGGGTAGGTGTTGAAGTAGAAATAGCAAAGTAAGGGTATTTTTTATAATGCCCCTAGTGAATGAGTTAAGATGTGTGCTAGTCTGTTTCTTTCCACATGCTTCTAATTCACCAGCAGACCTAACTTTGAGCAAAGTGAAATATGCATGGGAAACCAATGAACTTTTCACTTGCACAACAGAGACAGCATCTAGCTATCTATTTCATAGTTCCTTCTGCAGAAAATGCAGGAGATTTATCAGGAGAATATAAAAATCTCGAAGTGTTCTTACAGGAAATGATTGCGAGGACAATAAACATTTCATGTATCATCAAACTTTTACCCAGCAGTCACCAACAATTACGGCATGCAGCACTGCTCGTATTGCTCGAGCTCTCCACATCTCAGCATGCATGTGAAAGGATCGGGACAGCTACTGGTGGGATATTGATGCTAATCACCTCAAAGTATAACAGAGATATCAATGCCTTTGCCTCAGAAACAGCCGAACAAATCTTAAAACAACTGGAAAAATTCCCTGATAACATCAAGCGGATGGCAGAAAATGGGCTACTGGAACCTCTTCTAAACCATCTCGCAGAAGGTAAATAAATCTTTTAGACTTGGGACATCTTTTTCTCCAAATTTTCTGAGCATATTTTCCATACAACCAGAAAAGCATACACAATAAACGACAAGATTGATTAATCTATCTGTCAGAGTTTTACTAGGAATTTCATCTAAAACAAGGCACATGCAGGAACTGAAGATGTGCAGGTGGCAATGGCAACATACCTCGTGGAAATTGTCATTGGACATGACAAGAAAACATATGTAGCTGAGAAGGCTTCTCCTGCTCTCATAAGGCTTGTGCAGAGTGAAAACACTGAGGCCAGACGGGTGGCATTTAAAGCTCTTGCTCAAATTTCACTGTATCATCCAAACAGCCAAATACTTGTTGAATCTGGAATTGTCAAAATCATGGTCGAAGAGATGTTCACCAAGCGGATGTTCAGCGATCTGATGAACTCCCGGAATGAAGCTGCTACAGTACTTGCAAACATACTGGAATCTGGGTTGGCACATGAAGGCTTCCAGGTGAACACACATGGCCATACTCTGGCTTCTGATTACTTTGTCTACAATATCATCCACATGCTCAAGAACTCAAGCCCAGATGAGCTAAACATTGATTTGATCAGAATTCTCCTATCCTTGTCAAAATCATCCAACACAATGGCAACTATTGTCTCAGTGATCAAAGAAACTGATGCAAGCTTTGCCCTGATCGAACTCATCAACAATCCTCACGAAGATTTAGGCGTTGAAGCAATCAAACTTCTCATAGCACTATCACCCTACATTGGTCACACGCTATCAGAAAGATTATGTAAGACAAGAGGTCTACCTGAGAATCTTATCCAATGCCCAACAGAAGCAAGTCATATTTTAGAGAGGCATGCTGTTTCAGCCAAATTCCTCGCCAAACTGCCTCAACAAAACCTGACTCTTAATCTAGCTCTGGTAAGCGACAGTGTCGTGTCTAAAATTCTTAATGCAATCCACCTGATCCAAAGAAGTGGAACAAGAACAAGCAGGTATGCCACTGATTATCTGGAAGGTCTTGTAGGCATTTTAGCAAGATTCACTGCCACCCTGTATGAACCCCAAATGTTGTACCTGGCCATAAACCACAATTTGACATCAGTATTCGCTGAACTGCTGATGAAAACATCGAGCGATGAAGTTCAAAGGTTATCAGCAACTGGACTAGAAAATCTATCATCAGCAACACCGACTTTATCAAGACCTCCACAAACTAGGAGCACAAAATTCATGGCAACACTTAGCATGCCAAGGTCTTTGTCCATCGGGTCATCAAGAAAGAAGCAAATACAGATTTGCCCGATCCATAGGGGGGTATGTTCTTCAAAGAGCACATTTTGCTTGGTAGAAGCAAACACAGTCACAAAGCTTGTGGCATGTTTGCAGAGTGATAAAGTCGAAGTGGTGGAAGCTGCATTATCTGCAATATGCACACTACTAGATGACAAAGTAGATGTAGAGAAAAGTTTGAGCACGCTCAGTGAAATGAATGTAGTACAGCATGTCCTGGATGCAGTCAAAGAACACAAGAAAGAGACTCTATTACAGAAAGCATTTTGGATGATTGACAAGTTCCTGACCAGAGGAGGAGATAAATACGCCTTAGGCATATCGCAAGACAGGATGCTCACAGGGATGTTGGTTGGCGCCTTCCACCGCGAAGATGGTAACACAAGGGAGATGGCTGAAAACATTTTGAGGCGCTTGGACAAGATGCCGAGTTTCTCAACCTATATCGTATAAAATCCTAAATTTGAAAGCCTGTAAAGGTTATGAACTTTTTGTTTAGAATGATGTAAAAATTGAAGGGTGACCTATTCTTATAAGGTCTATAACTGTTGTTCTCTTAGTACTCATTGTGTTTACAGTTTTCAGTTGGAATGTGGTTTACATTATGGTCACAAAAGAAAACAGATCAAGCAGATTGAGTTTTAATGGATTCCTGTAACCCAGCTTTTGATAGATTCATTACACAAGGGCTTCACTTCTGTGTCTTCACTTCCTTATCTTTCTCCCTCACTTCTGTTGTGAAGCTTCTCTGTTTTTTCAGATTCCGATTTAATGCTTTCGAGATAGGGCAACGTTTACACCACTCTGTGTCCATTAGTACCATCTCCCATCTTCCATTCTACACAAATGCTGCATTCTATTCCTCTGATCAGGCTCACGATCTACAGAGAAAAATCAGCAACATAGAAAACATTACTTCAGTTTCTACCTTCTCGAGCCCTTTTCTATTTCTTTGTGAGTCAAGTCCTTCCAAAGAGGTAACTATTGGCGTATGATAGCCAATAGTAACGAAGCAGCCCCTTGTCCATCTAAAATGACCAACAGTTCAAGCCATTCTCCCAGTTCTGTGTCTGGACTTGTGTAGTACTTGGTTATGATGGACAATCATTAGTCATCACTCTTGTGTCTGTTTAGCAAAATACTTGATTTCATGGAGCAACTAACTACCAGAAGTCTCCACACGAACAGATTCCATCTTTAAAAAGGTGAAACCTTACAGTATCTCTCACAAGTATCTCTCTCCCAGTGACTTTGGAGATATGTTTTGTAGCATTGTGGCAATCCACACAGACCCTAAGATTTTTCACCACCTTAATAGGTAGACTTGGGGGAACAAATATTAATCCAAATGCAATTGCGAGCCTCTCACTATGATATGTAAGCATTTTTACTTTCTGTGATTCCTCAACATCGTGGGGAACACAACTAGTGTCTGGTTCGTAACCATTGTCTACCATTTTCTGGTACAACTCCTCAAGCTTAGCATATATCTGATCTGAATACGGACTTGACTGGTCATCTGCTGAGAAAATGTGCGACTTTCTATTATACTTGATCCAACTGCATCCAGGTTCTTTTCTAACTCCTTTCTCTCTGATTTCTCGCCTTAGTTGAGCAACACAATCCCATTTCTGGTTCAAAGCATATAAACTAGAGAGTAAGGTATAGCCAGCGGAGTGTTGAGGGTCTAGTTGCCTGAGTGATTTGCTTGCCCATTCCCCTATTTCCAAGTTACCTTTATTTCTACAAGCACTCAGTAAGGTGCTTAAACCAGATGCATCTGGCGGAAAAGGCATCTCATTTATGAAACTTTTGGCCTCCTCTAGTCTTCCAGCTCTACTGAAGAGGTCAATCATGCAAGAATAATGGTCACTGATTGGTGCAATTCCATAATCATTCACCATTGAATCGAAATATCTTTGTCCTTTCTCCACTAATCCTGATCTACTGCAAGCTGAAATTACAGATACGAAAGTCACTTCATCAGGTTTCAGTCCATGCTGCACCATTCTTTCAAACAAATCAATCGCCGCGACGGCCTTTCCAAATTGAGCATATGCTGAAACCATTGCCGTCCAGGAGATTTGATCCTTGACATCCATTTCATTGAACAGCCTAACAGAATCTTCAAGGTTTCCACATTTGCGATACAAAGTTATTAATGAATTCGAGACACTAATATAATGTATTAAACCAGAAATTATAGCTTTTCCATGAAACTGGGAACCCTCTTCTAGGCTACCGATGTTGGCACATGAGCTAATAACATCTGCCAGTGTAACATCATCTGGGTCAATTCCATGTCTTTTCATCTCGCCAAAAATCTCAAAAGCCTCTTCAAATTGACCAGTCTTACCATAACCCCCAAGCATTGCTGTCCAAGAGACGACATTCTTCTGCTCCATTCTATTGAAAACAGTCTCTGCATAGACTATGTTATTACACTTACAATACATGTCAACAAGCGCACTGGCGACAAATATGTTATCCTGATGATTCGTCCTGATTATAAAAGCATGAATTTGCTTCCCTTCCTTTATGGCGGACAACTCCCCACAAGCTGGCAGTACACTTCCAAAAGTAAACTGATCCATAGCCAGACCTTCCATTTTCATCCCTCTTACAAGATCAATGGCCTCCCTTTCCAATCCATTTTTAGCTAGTCCTTTGATCATCGTTGTCCAAGAAATGGAATCTTTCTCCATCATTTCTTGGAATAGCTTCTTAGCTTCTTCCATCATCCCATTGTGCAGAAGGCCCTTCATCAATGCATTGCACATAACCGTATTTCTCTCACGCATCCCATAAAAAACCTTCTTCGCATCACGAAAATGATCAACTTCTGCATACATATCCAACAGCGAACTCCCGACGAAAAAACATGAGTCAAACCCGAATTTGATTACCTGCCCATGAATCTGCCTGCCCAAACCCACAAGTCTGTGGGTGAAAGAAAACTTCAGCATTTCAGAAAACGTAACTCTCGTCAAATTTTTAGCAGGCCCATCTCTCATCATCATATTATAGGCCTTGGCAGCGTCGCCCACCAATCCTCTCGAGGCATAGCCCTTGATAAGCAAGTTCCAAGAGACATGATCACGACATGGGAGCTTGGAGAAAGTACCCTCCAATTCTGAAATGTCACCAGAGTTGGAATACGCAGAGAGAAGAGCGTTCCAAGAGTAGATGTTCGGTAGGGGAATTCCGTCGAACACTCCGCGAGCATACTTGGAGTCGCTGATTTTGCCATAAGCATTGACGATTACGTTTAGGAGGAACGTCTCTGGATCGGGTAGGGTTCTAATGATATGCCCATGGATCCTCTTCACATGGCGGCTCTGGTTTCTTCTCCCAATGCAGAGCTTTAGGTGAGAGGCGTAGTAGTTCGACGCCATTGTTCTTCGGCGCCAATTCGGAACAGGATATTAAAAAGGCTGAATCCGACAGGCTCACGTGACTCGCACGTGATGAGACCCTGTTTGGTAATAAAACCGTCGATTAACGTAAAGAGCGCTCTGTTTCCATGGATGAAACTCACTTGTTGCATCAGCATCACAGAGAAGATTCCATGGAAATGGATTTTGTTTGAACTATGGATTCAATTATTTGATATTACCAAAAGCATCGTCACTAACAATGGAGAAATCACAGAGCAGATCGCTATCGAAGCCGCTGTTCTTGTTGATCATTAGACAAATTACATCAACATTTTCTCTTCTATATCAAATCTATCTATACACAGAAACAGAGAGAAAGCACAGATCTTTCTTAACACCCAGAATCTGCCTCTCCATTACAAAAGGGCTTCATCACTTCTGTCTCCATTCCACTGAGAAATTAATCAACCAGAATTCTGGGTAAAAACATGAATAGATGCTGCTTCGTCTTCCCGAGCTGTACAAATTACAGAAACATGATCCAGCTTCTTCTTTCTTCTTTTCTTTCCTCCCATTTTTCACATTCTGGTTGAACGTTGAAGATGAACCATTAGAGAAGGGAAGAAGCTGTCACTGCTCGACCTTCATGTCAGCAGACGGAAGAGATTCTGAATTGCATGTCGAAAACGGAATGTTAACAGTGAGTTGAATACTGTTCTTTGAACTTATCAACAAAGTCTTTCAGCAAATAATCGATTAGTTCTATGTAACGATGGGGAAGACCCCGATTAGCTTTACCTGTTGCTGCTTGATTTTCTAGTGGAGAACCGACTCCGTAGCTCGTGTGAACAACATTCTGCAGATCACCTTCCCATCCATGTGTTTCCTGTTAAACCAAGAAAGAAGATCACATGTTGTCGTATACCCGGAAACCACAATGATCCAGAAAGGCATCTCGGAAACTACATGATTTCACGTTTGCACTATATTTAAAATGAAATATCTTTGCAAACATGATGCTAATGGTGAAACCCATTGTTCTACTGTGAGACAATGAAGTGGAATCAGAAATATACCGGTCTCTTGAATGCTCCTCCATTCACGGGCAACAATGGGGAACTGATGGTTCTCTTAAGGATATCAGAAGGATTTCCCATGCCAGACAGTGTTGGCTGCATGAATCCTGGTTGAGAGAGTTGCGGTAGAGGAGGATAAGCCATCGGCATTTGGGGAAATGATGGTGCAGATGAAGGACCAGCCCGTAGCTGAAGGGCCTGCATCCGAAAGGAGACACGATCATTTTATGAGGCAAACTGCTCGTTAGATAAAGACAAAGCTGCTCAGTAATGGGATCCACAATTTCTAACCTCCTTAGCTAAGAGTCCTTCGAAGTTAAAATTCAGCTGAGGATTTACGGTTGCAAGTTTCATCGACAAGAACTGAAAAGAATAGAAGAAGAGGGCAAATTCATAAAATGAGACAGCTAAACAATTAATAAAAGAACTACACGAGAGAGAGAGAGAGAGAGAGAGAGAGAGAGAGAGAGAGAGAGAGAGCAAAGTTGGATGTAGGTAAATAAGTCCACAGGTATACATGCCTCGACTTGTCGTTGAAGTGATTGGACATAGTTAATGATTTCATCGAGCATAACTGCCTTCCCTGTGACCTGAACAACACATAAATTTCAGAGTTCAGACAACAAAGTCGAGAGCTTTCTCCTCATACAGCCATAATCACCTAAAAAGTCCCCACCTTGTTGCAACCCGGCACAAGATCTTGAAGAAACTTCATCCTTTCGCTGATCTTTTCTCTCCTAACCTATAATCGAGAAGCAATGAAGTCAAACCACACCTAACTAAGATTCGAAGGGCAAAACAATGAAGGGATTGCTCCGATTAAATCTTAAGATGTAGAACTGTATACCCTTTCTGCAAGACTATGGCTATTTGTGGCCTGGCCTCTTCGAGCCCTCACGTGAATATATCCTTCCTTTGTAGGATCAGAAGCTTGTTTTCCTTGTTTTCCCCCGCTTGTCATGTTAGCTGGTGAATTGGTAACTTGCTCATCCTTTTGCTTTTTCGCACCATTGTTCTCCGGTTCTTCACCTGAATGCTGAGGTCTACATGACTGATTCGGCTCAGATTCCTACAGACAGAGAGATAAGCTATGTGTAATAAAAGGCTGGTGATCGGAAACAATGAAGAAACGCTGGGAAACAGAGAAATCTTCAGCCTTACCTGCCCATTTCTTTTCCTTTTCTTCGTGTCGTAGCCCTTGGAAGAGGTTTCCCCAGAGTTCACTTCCCCACCTTGCAGTTCATTCCGACCGCCACCAATGGACCGAGTTTCTTCAGACATATTACTGGATCCAGGTTTATCCACTTTAGCTTCTTCGTTGGATCCAACATGAGTCCCGATTCCTATATCGTTCTTGAACCCGTCTTTTACTGCTGTAGAAGCATCATTTGGAAGTTCACTGGCGTTTAGTTCATTCCTCGGGCATTGTCCTCCATGAGCTAGTTTATATACACTTCCCACTTGCATATCCTGCAGCCCTTGCATTGCTCCCCCAACTTGAGAATACAAACCCATAGATTCAGGATTTACAACAGGTTGGTTCATCATGTCACTGAAATTCCCACCATTGAAGCACGAAAACCTCGCAGCACGCTCTATGAAGCCTGAATCGGCTGGGAAATGAACCATACTATGTGGGAGGAATCCACTTGCATTTGGCAGGAGAAGAGCATTACCTTTAGGCAAGAAACTAGGAAGATTCCAACCCGTTTCTAGAGGTCTATCGCCATTTCCAATCCCCATTGCGTTCGAAGAACCCGCATTAGTCTGCATACTGAAAGCACTAAACCCAATGGCCTGTACACTGGTGGGATCATGCCAAAGAGCTTGTCCAAATGAATCCATCATCTGAGATGGAGAACAAGATGATGGACAAGCAGACATCATCGGATTCTCTGGAGGATATGAACCCACAGGCATAGACACTGGATTAGAAACACATACTCTCCAGTCTGCAGGCGTGTTAACCGAATCATAGCTCACATCATTAACACCATTGCTCTTCTCGACAACAAACTTGTCTTTGTCACTCATATGATCCATGTCTCTTCAACTTCTGAACAGGCACCAAAACAATCTTGAACTAGCTGCTGTCACTGGTCCGAGTATCTACAGAACTTCTACCTTAATAGGATGGCTTCAGCCTCCAAGACCGGCCTCTGTGTATATCATCAAGGATCGCAGCGAAAGCACAATCACCCACAATGTACCTGAGGAACATTTAAGAAAATGTAACTGTGAACAACAAGAAAGGAATGGATTACCAACTTGATCAGATGAGTAAATATAAAGCACCAGAGAGAGATAATGCCCGATCAAAAGAATCAAATCAAATCCAGGAATTGATCGTACAGACTCAATCTGCCACAACCACTACCAAGTACTGAGATGAAAGAGACAGGGCAAAGTTTCAAAAAAGGAGCAGGAACAGTCAACGGAGCAGAAAAGCACCATGATTTCCGTACAGGCACTCAACTCAAACACGGCCTCCTAAGAAACCCTAGCCAGATTTTAGCAGAGATTCGAGCTCAAAAGCTTCGAGAGAAAGATACCCATTTCAGATTCTGTGCCACTTTTTGAACAAGTTCAAATCTTTTCCCCTCAAAATTTCTTACCAATCTTTTTATTGAACTGGGTCCTTCGCTCAGACAGCACTCCCACCTCTATTCGCCGCTGCAACAAAAGATACAGAGAGAGAAACAGCGAAAATGGTCGCTTTTTAGAGATAGAATAGAACACAGAGAGAAGCGAGAACAAAGAAACAGAAGGGAAAGAAAAGAAAAACAGGAAAAGGGTCTGGATTTATACCCACGCTTGCATAAAAAACAGAGCTCTTTGATCATTTAGCCACCGCCATGGCCGAAGCACTCAAATCAATTTAGTAGTTTTAATTTGAAGAGAGAAAGAAAAAAAAACACTTTCAGCTTTCAAAGTGTTTGCCTTTCAGCAGTTCAAGTTTAATTTTTCCCAAAAAAAAAAAAACTTCAGATTCAACACTGATTAAAGCCATTGATCAAATTAAGCTGTGTGGGTTTAAGAGGTAATTATGCCCATTTTCATCTAAATCCACTGACAGTGACAACTTTCATTTTGGGGCATCTTAAATTCTTCATTTGTTCCCTCCCCCCTTATTTGAATACTCGAAGATCGAGCTTCATAACTTTTTCTCCACCTTTTTCCAATATTTTAATTTATTTGATTTTAAATCGGTTATAACCGGTTTAATTAGGAGCGTTATTATTTGGTTTAATCATATTTCTTCTTCATTTCCTTATTGTGATACCTAATTTTCAATATGTGGAAAAAATATCCCATTTTTTATATATTTTTCCTTTTCATATAAACATTCATAATATAATTTAAAATAGTGATTATAATTTATATCTAATAATTCATTTACTCGATTCTGTAATATTATGATAAAAATAACGTTTGCTGCCAAAAAGGTAAAATTTTAAATCCATGTTCTGTTTTTTATGGTAACATTGTTTTTGTGAATAATCATAACAATTATTGGTCACGCGAGTTGCACTTTTTCATGTTCTATGTTTTGGATTTTGTACCGAATCATATGTTACTTTAATATATATATATATATATATATATATATGCGCGTTTAATTTTCATGCACGGTCCGTTTTTTAAAAAATATTTCGTCCTTTTTGACCTCTCTAATTGCTTTGTGTGAAGAATATTTTTTGCAGCTCACGTCTAGTTGTAACCCGTACGGCTAACAAATACTAAAATATGAATATCAACTATAACAATAAATTATTAATACAAAAACAATAAAATATATTGCCCCCTATTATTCGAATATTTTAACTAGATTTAAGTACATTATAGCCTATTAGTCAAATAATCTATATTCAAATTAATATATATTTTATATTATGCAAGTTGAAGCCTATAATTTAAATAATATATATTTTGCGTGTATATTAGTCAAATAATCTAGAGTGGTGTTCGTGGTTGTTGATGGCTTTAATTTACGTGCAACCTCTTCTTCTTTGTTGGAGGAGTATATATTTATAATGCGGTTTCATTAATCTTGTTTATGGGTTTTGTAATTACATTTTCCGAGTTTATAGGAAAATATAAATCCCATAAATGTGATTTTATTTTATTTAATGTAGATATAAACATATACGCATACCATTTATTTTATACACACATTGTTGAGTAATAATATCTAAAAATCATACCCTTTTTAAACACGAAATCATATATATATATATATATATAGTTGGAGAAAATATATTATGTTTGAGATCAAATCAATTTGGAAGACATACACGTGGTTTTGTCTTAGGTTCAAGAAATCAGACGACAGAACGCTAATCTCTTCCAATTAAATAGGAATTTAAGGCTTTTTTTTGTAATTAGTGCAGTGTAAAACGTATTTATTAGGGCAAAATTGTTAAATATAAATAAAATAAAAAAATATAATAAAGAAATAAAAGGAGAGTAGATGGGCGGTCCGGTGAGCACAAGCCCCAAAGTCATTATTAGTTGGCATTGGGAATTGCAATTTCAAACCTTAGAATAATGGAATCTCCAACCCACCACCTTTTATTTTTCTCTCTCTTTTTTTTTTTTAATCTTTATTTAACTTTTGTTATTTAATTCTCTGGCCTCTACATTTATAACAGAGGTGACCATCTTGATTATTAATCCAATAATGGAATTGAATAAAATATAATCATAATTAAACTAAATTTGATATAAAAATTAAACGGTTATATTTTTTCTAAATTCGAAAAAATTGAATCTGAATCAAACAATTAAAAAAAATAATCGAAAAACCCGATATATTTTTTTTGAATAAATGAGTTTTACAACAAAAAAATGAATTCGAAACGAACCTTACCAAAAAATAACCGAATTAAATTGAACCGAAATTTATATAAAAATCGAATGGTTATAATTTTTTGATAATCGAAATAACTAAATCTGAATATAACCGAACCGAACTTGTACCGAAACTCGAAATAGTCGCTCCTAATTTATATTACTGATTTATTTTTATTTTAATCCACCAAATATTAGGACGACTTCGAAATGATTTGCATTGACCGGGTGTGGGTGGGGTTCTGTAAATTTGCCTCAGCCCATCATAACCACATGTCTAAATAATAACACAATACAATTAAACAATTAATGATAATTATTATTTACTCGGATTTGTTTTATTATTAAATATTACCACAAATACAAAATGAAAATAGATTTATGATAAGGCATGATTTCTATTGAAAAATAATAACTAATATGTTGTCATCACAACATAATTCCAAATTGTGCAAAAAAAAAATATTCCCTAAATTTATCAAATGTTTTTATAGCATATTAAATCATTATTATAGCTGCAAATATTTTATTTATTTATTTTATTCATTTATACCATTCTTAAAATAAGAAGTTGGCAAATAGCGTCATGTCCACGTAGGGATGTCAAACGAGCCAGTTCGGACCAGATCGGATCACCTCGTTTCCGAATCAACTTATTTTTAGCCAAATTCGTTAAGTCCGCTTTTATTCGGACCAAAAAATTTCTGACTCATCCCAAGTCTCTTTAACTCGCGAACCGATATCGTATTTTTCTAAATACCTAAAAACTGATATCGTATTTTTCTAAATACCTAAAAAGCCCATATCAAATTATACAAAACCATATCCCAATAATACATCAATATAAAAAGAATATTTCAATACATCCAAATCATACTTATATTCACAATCACAATCCATGTACAAAAAATTATCTCTAAATATATCATATCACAATCCATCCATGTACAAAAAATCATCTTCAGATCCTAATCCATCCATTTACAATCAGATCTTAATCCATATACAAAAAACTATAGTCAGATCATAATTCATCCATATACAATCAGTTCCTAATCCATGTACAAAAAACCATCTTCAGATCATAATCCATGTACAAAAATATTATTTCCAAATCCACATACCATATCAACCAATATCAACACTTTCAAGTTTCAACGTAAAAAACCCTAATTTTTTTTAAGCCAGCTCGCGAGTCGATCGAACTAGCTCTTTGGGCTCGGCTCATGGCGAACTGATTCACTTGGCCCATTTTTTATTCGGATTCAGATAATCTTGGCTCGACTCAGTAAAAAAAGAGCCAACCTCGAACTGGCTCACGAACTCGGCTCGTTTTGATATCCCAATACCCACATGTCATAGTAATGCCCTTTATTAAGACACATCCTTTCAGAGATTTTATCTCATTCCACACACTTTTTTAATTTTTATACATAGTTTTGTCTTTTGATAAAGCATTTTCTTTGTAAAAAAAAACTTTTTTCTTTGGCACTAGTATGCATATAATATGGTCATCTCTCTCCCTTTTTTGCTACAACAAATATGGCTCTAATTCTAAGCAACCATATTACATCCTGTATTAATAGGTTTTATTTCTCTAAAGAAAATAGTTGCCTATCTGAAAATTTATTTGGGCTTTACTTGGGTCTACCCATACTGCTTATGTAGCCCATTAAGAGCCCATATATAGCATATATCTTTAAGCCCAAGGCCCGTTCTTAGTGAATGAAAATGATTGTACTTTGGACCCCCCCCCCTTTTATATACTAAGCTTTTCATATTTTCGTAGGTGGACCATATATGTAAAGAGCAATTAATGTGACACAAATTGGTATTAGCCGGTTGTTAAATGATTCCAAGAAATTTGTTGCTTACATAATATATCAAATCGTGTAATAATTCCAACATAAATGGTCTTTTATTGGATGCAGAAGAGTATCAAGACAATATTCAGAAGTGTGATATCCTTATCTAACACAAATTAATTCAACTTACATTCTTGATGGACCTGTGGAAAAACAACAATCTTTTGTAACCAAAGAAAAAAAAAAGAAAAACATGTCCAATGCTTATATGTTACCTGACCTTGTCAGGAAGACAAACCATACATATATGCCCTAATGGATCAAATCAAGAGGCAGATCTTAATACACATCCAAGTCTTTACCATAAAACAGCATCAAGTTATGTTCTCATTGGATACTAACAATAGCTTCTGACAAAGCTTCTGTTCCAGCAGAGTTTTTGTGTACTCTTGTGATGAATTTTCTTACAGCAGCCATAAGGAGAAGAGGGTTCTCCAGATGAACAGCATGGCCAGCACCCGGAATTTCAATAATCTTGACGATTTTATTAGCACGATGATTCATCTCATGATACATTCTCGAAGATATTTGCTTGAATTTGACATCTTTCTCTCCATATACTAGCAAGACATTTGCATTGCATTCCTTCAGCTCTTCCCACAATGAACTATCATTGAAGATCTTAGTCAACTAACTGTAAACAAGATCAGAAATGAGTCGGAAAGCGATGGACAGATTGCTGGTAGGGACGAACTTACGGTTGTCTCCCGCTGCTTAGATCAGACAAGACCTTTGCGAGGCTTACAACATCATCGTGTTCCAAGCGGCTTGCAACTATTTTTCTAAAATGTGGATGACTTCTCAAGCTATTCATTTGGAGAAGTCAATCTTATGAGTATCAGCGATTTAATAGTGCAAGACTCATAGTGAATTAAGAGAATTACCTCTTCCACAGGCCACCATTGTACCAGTTCTCCAGAAAGATTTCTAGTCCATGGGCAACAATCATGCCTGCTTTGGAATCATCTTTTGCTCTTCGAACTTTTCTGGCCACTGGATCCTTCAGCCCGGGGCTTCCTGACACCACGACAGCTCCTTCGACCTGTAAAAGGGTATTCAAATTATGTTATGTATATTAATAAAGTAAAAGATGATGTGGAGATCTTCACACAATGGGGAGTACCTTATCGGTAGACCTCGAAGCCATATACAGAGCTATCCGTGCTCCCATGGAATACCCTACTACAGTAAATTTCTCAGGAGTAATTTGCTCCATCACCTTACACAGCATCTCAGCAATCATCTCCATTGAGAAAGTTGGCTTCTCATTACCATGACTCTGTACCCATGAGCTCCCATGACCAGGAAGATCAAGTGAGATGCATCTCACACAGGCGGAGCCTGAGATACCCTTCATGATAGGGATCCATTCTTCACCAGTTCCGAGAAAACCGTGTAGAAACAGAACAACACTTCCCTGTAATATGTTACCGCAGATGAAGCAACAAGGGTACGAATAGACCAAGAACAATTAGGCTCTATGTATATTCAGTTGTGGGCATACATAATAAAAGAAACAAGAACAAGCTTAAACTTACATCTATATCCTGTTCAATGTCGTGGATTTTTATGAAATGAGAAAAACCATTTAAATCCACCCTCAGCTCATACCTCTGGACGTGTACCCCCTTACTGGTCTTAAGGATAACATCGTTGTTAATTCTAACATCCTTGAGGATTTTGCAAGCATCGGAAACAGATCCTTCCACAAACCCAGTGTATGGACTGCGAAAAATCCCTAGATTATCAATCATGACATCTTCTTTGAGCCACCGGTATGTTCCAAGTCCATGGGCCACCGGAAGGGCCATTCCATTATTCTGCTCTGCGGATATTTTGAGGTTCTGCTGCTCCAGATACGATGAAAATAAAATATATGCTGATAAACCAAGGCCACTTTCATATGCAGCACTAAGAATAGCTGTCTTTCCATGCTGCTGTGCCCACCGGGCAATTAGTGCTGCATTTTCAAACCCTCCCACAACACTTGGTTTAATAACCTGAGAAATATCAAGTATATGGTAAACCAAAGTCAAGGCTCTTGAAAACTGAAAGTAGAACTGAGATAGAAGATGCCCATGTATATACATCATAGAACTGATATATTACGATACTGATGAAAATGGAGACACACCATCCCCAATATCAATCAAAAGAGACAGGATCAGATAGTGACAGAAGACATAAACACTACTTAAAAACGATATTGGAATATCTCAGACACATATAAATGCTGGGAAAAATTAATGTGACTTACAACAGCAACTATTCCAGGGTGGACATACTTCGTAAGCCGACCTTGCTGAAATTTCTGAAAATCATCAAGAGTCTCATCAAGTGCCACTGGTAAGCCACTTTCTTCACAGTATCTTATAAGATCATCTTCATTGTGGACAGGTTCCTGAGATATTCAAAATGCTTTTCAGTAATGTTATATATAGAAAAGAGTATAAGTTTTCATTTCGACAAAGACATAAGTTATTTTAGGAATGCAACTTCAGAGGTCCGATCGAAATGCAATATCTCTGGGTGCATCACACCTCAATATATTTTAGATTACAGCTTTTCACCGATAAACCAAATTTTATAGCCTCTTCAAAAGTCCAACGACGATTTGCATCTGCACGGAGTTCAATTTGATTGCCTACTGCTCTCCTTATTTCTTGTAGAACTACAGCATCCTCAACAGGGTCCACTCGGCGAGCAACCTGTTATTGAGACAGGTATATCACTCGGTCATTCAGTAATCAATAACCTTAAAAGCCAAAGTTCCACAAATATGACTATCTTTGTCCAATCAAAAATGGAAAAAGAAGTGACAATATTATAGAAAATATCCAACTATCTTACTCCAGATGATTTAGTGTAATCTTGATGACAAGATTAAACAAGATGGGCTTACTTTAAGCTTAATTGCAGTGAACCCTTCTTCAACAAGTTTACTAGCAATGTAGGCAACCTCTGATGGAGTACCTTCAGAATCAAGAAGGGCACATATTCGGACAGAATGTGGCCCAGCAGATCCATTTTCTTCTTTCTGAGAATGAGGTGTGCCCAAAAACTTAGAACCACGACTCAGAACTAGCACATTTAGAAGAGCCATTTCCAGACCACATCTGACACTTGGCAAAATTGATGATGCCTGAAAAATGGAAGAGTCAGCAAATGGGCAAATGGATCTGAAATAATTCACAGGAAATTGTTTTCGCCCTAAGGAGTTATCTTTTTTCTAGTGGAAGCGTTTAAACAAATAATGTAAAAAGTAGAGCCATAACTTTCATTGAAGAATCTATTGATTTACTGCCTAATTTCTCCTGATAAATTGGCGGGAATGTATTAATATTCTTCTAACAGAGTTACTGCTCGAGAACTTACAGTGATTCCAAGTTCACTCCAAATCCAAGAAGAAATTGATCCATTCAATAAAGGAAGCATGTGACTAATTTTAGCTCCTTTCATCACATGAAGAACTAACTGTAGTTGCGCCTCTATATCCATTAAGTTCTCTCCATGAATGTCCAAAGGTGCAACCTGTTCAAGAAATGAAATAGAGGAACATGATTTCTCAACCTCAATATGAGCCCTGCACCCAAAGATTGATTCATGAAAATGTATGTACATGCAACACCTAGATTTGATAGATTAATTAGACCAAACAACTACCTCTCCATAGCCAATGCTTCCATCTTCCAAAGTCAAAGAAAGTACATAACCTTCTCTGTAAAACTTCAAGGATTCCCCATTAACAGAACACATGGTAGGTCTGTCGCAAAGCTCAATTCTGCAAATAGAGCTGTTTGAGGAAAGGGAAAAATCAGAGAAAAAGGCAGGAATTGGAAACCACCTCGGAACAAACACCTTACCTATACTGTGAATACTGTACTCCGCAGACTCGGGATATAAGCAGTACATTGTCAAGGACAGGAGGAAGAAGAGAACTGGCTAAGATTGTACCCAAATAATTATCTGCAGCTTGATGAGCGAACCTCCCCAAGGTACTGTGAATGAACATTTCATGTCATGAAAGCACAAGAAAAAAAAAAAGAGAGGTAAAAAGGGAAAAGAAACAAGAAATCCTAGTGACCTGTGAACAGTTGCATTAGCATCAATAGAGCTTTCAACCTCTATAACACAATCCATATCTCCCTCGTTCAATAGAAATAGTGCATCCTCAAGTTCACCTTTTGTCCCGACATGATGATACTTCAGACTGCATAGTTAGTAATTTCACAAAGTTTTTCAAGGTTTGCCATGCAGGTAGACTCTTAACATCTAACCAAAATTATCAATCACCAAAAAAGCTCAAGCATAAACTAGGAGATACTCCATACCAAGAAAACTTTGATGATTATCCACGCTATGATGATACACTGCTAATGCATATCTGTATCTTTTTCATGACTACTCGTGGAAAAGTTACTTGAAAAACTAAATCCTTCATACAAAATATATTTCATTTTCTTGTTTCCACGACCTACTTTTTTCACAGAACAGAATCAAAACACATAATTAATTTTACTAACGCGGGAAAGAAAAATAAATGTATGAATGTTTTTACCCATGTGCCATACACAACTTTTCAATTGAAATGTCATGGGATGTATAGAAATACTGTTTCAACACACTAGGCTCCGTTCTCTCTGCGATAGGGAGAAGTCTGAAAATTCCACCACCATGGTTGTTTATCACAAGAATCGTAACCGGCTTCCTTACAATCCTAACAAAGTAAAGATTGTGCATATTTAAACATCAGAAAATTAAACAACACATAGACAAATAGACCATGGCAGAGACTTTATGCTAAAATAAATAGAAAATACAAGTTCAAGTTAGAAAACAAAGCTCGTCACCTCTGCCTCAAAATTGCCAATCCATTTGTATCATGAAGGAAAGAAATGTCCCCAACCATACAGACCACCTGAAATATGTTTGTCTGACTGATAAGAATAAAATCATTTATAACATCGAAACCATATGTAACAACCACCATATTATGCCCTTGAAACGACTCATAAATTACAAATTCCATAGTATTTTCACAAAAATAACAGGAAAATACAGAAAACAAATCCAAGATCACAATAATTCTGTTGAATGCGACCTAAAATGGAGAAACAAGCAAGGAAACTTCCACCAATTAAGCTGAAATTCATTTGAATCGTTCTAATGCTACCCACAGGCCACAACTCGCAAGTCATGCGATATGTAGCTCTACGGATTGAGAAAGGAAGCATAAGCAGATAAAAAATAGGTATAAACTTACTCTCTTCTTGCATCCTACAGCAAAGCCAGTGGCCGAGCTGAGCAAGCCATCAATGCCACTTGCTCCCCTATTTGCAGATACCCGTATCCAATGACATGGTAGCTGCATTGTATCTATGACATAAGAAATATCATTTGCCGAACTACATCCATACATATCCACATCCCTTATTGGCATACTATTGCCAATAAAAAGAGCAGATTCAGATGTTAATGTTTTGGAAAGCATATGAGCAACATAAGGTTCAGTGAGGAAGCATTCAGTAGATATTTGAAATGCCATTTCCCGCGCAATCTGCACAAAAGAAATGAAACATTATGAAGCTGTTGGGATTTCCTCTACAGTTGAAGTTTGAAAATAACTTTTCCACACAATCTACAGGAAAGCAAATGGTCTCAGCACATCAAGAGCAATCATATCTGGTCTTTCAAGGAATTCTCTTATATTCCGTGCTATCAAACAGGACAAAAGATGTCTGTAGAACGTACCACATCATCCAATGCTCGTAGATGGTCATGCAACTCGCATCTCCCCCACAAAAACTGAGAATTAAGCAGACAATCAGCAAACTGAACAATGGTGCTTTGGACCCTGTGAGTTACCATATGTGATGGATCATGTCGACATGGATGCTTTTCGACCAAAATGTATGCAAATGGAAAGCATTTCTCTAGCATCTGAGAAATTCTTTTACTTGTTATCCGACTTCCAACCTATTCACAAGTTAAGATAACGATTGAAACAATAGGAAATAAAGTAAATATCTCACTATATGTTTAAATGGCACAACTGAAATCTTGGTTCAGTAATTTTAGAAAGAAACTTTCCGTATAACTAAAGATTGAGAATTGAACATCAGGTGCAACACAATGATCTAGTCATACTCTATGTTTTCAGTTCTTTTTATTAATTAATGTGTCTTGGTGGCATACCAGGGTCCGAGAAATGTCAACTACAACAGAAGTACCCCAGATAGTAGCCTAGCTTCTCCAAATATCTAGGTCAATGCTTTGTTTTAGATGCATTAAGGAGAACTAAAGAAACAAATACCAAAGAGGCGTATGAACTTTACCTGGATAACAACATCAAGCTTGACCATATCCCTAACAGAATCGGAAAGTAGAGCGTGATCAAGATGATCAACAAAAACAATGTTCTGCTCCTCAAGAAAAGAAGGGAGAAGCTTGCGCAATCGTAGGCCAGACAGAATGTCAGCAACCACAGGCCATGAAAGATGTTTAGCAAGCAGAAGAGCAGCCCAAATTTCATCCTCTGTATGGATTGCACCAAGAAGAAGAAGACCCTTCTTAGCCCCCTTGATTACGTCTAAAACCTCAGTCATTTGGCCTGATGATTCCATGTTATTTGAAGAACTTTGTACTTGAAAATATTTTGTGAATGGTTCGGCATTAGACATCCACATCTCTAACCCATTCAAGCAGTGGGATGACCACTTTCTTGTGCTACCATCAAGCGGTTCTCTGAAAGGACAATTGAGATGCACTGGTCCACAAGGCGAGCACATCGCCCAATGTAGAACAGAGTCAAGTGTAGTGAGCACCATCCGGATCGGAATCAGATCGGTTGGAGGAGGAAGATCAAAGAAGAATCTCACAAATGAACCGAAGTGGTTTACCTATACCAGGGGAAAAAAGAAATGAATTCATAAGAGAGGAACCAAAACAAGGACTATACCAACAAATCCAAAAAGGACACAACCAGGGAATAGCTTACCTGATTTATTGCTTGATTCGCTCCAACATTCTGAAGTTCAGGAGGACGATCTGCGGTAAGTAGCAGAAGTGGTAAACAATCCTCACTGGCTTCAACAACCTGGAATTAGTCTCATATCAAAACACTTACACGCAGTACACATTTGTACAGTGTTGCAAACAAACAGCAACTGAAACATAAAACTATTTATCGATTCACAAGTAAAAATTACTGTCAAACTCACCGCAGGAAGAAGATTCGAGACAGCCGTTCCAGAAGATGTTATAACCACTGCAGGTTTGAGAGACCCTCTAGCATATCCAGTAGCATGAAACGCAAGTGATCGCTCATCAAAGCATGCAATACACATTGTTAGGGGATGACTGGCAGCGGCAATTGCAAGAGGGGAAGACCTTGATCCAGGAGCCACACAGAAATACTGTGACAGTATATTAGTCACAAAGGTCAACCAAATCAGAAGTGTACATCAGATGTTAGACCACTTCAGCTCACCGTCAAACCAAGACGAGTACACTCTTCGATTATAGCTGATGCCCAGACAGTATTAATGTTAGCCTCATCCTTCAGGGAGCAACTGACTTCACTCGCATGATTCAACTGATAGCCAAAAAGAAGAAAAAGGAAAGACACTTGATAACTCATACCAACAAATGTCAAGGAAAAAGACCTCAGGACTAGGCAAACACATGCATCCTTTAATTATTTTTTTTTTCCTTTGCTTTTGGAAAATTGAATGATCAGGACCCATCAACGAACTGAACATTACTTTCCTAGCATTTTCAAGACAATTCACTATGGAACAATGGCAATACTCTAAAGCTTTACTACAAGTCCTTTCTTCCACCTCAGATGCAACGCCACTATAAAATTTCTCTTACAATATGCACGCTTAATAATTTGATTCTGAAGTTTTATATAAATTTAAGAATACAATAAACAATCATCCCAAATCAAACAAGAGAGTAACTGCAGACCAAACTGTCCAAGACAAACTAGCACATGTAGCCATAGGGTATATTTCTACATACCATGTTATTAGAGAAAACAACACCTGGTGAAAGCTTGCAATAGAATTGACATGAGGATGGGGCACTTTTCTGCAAAATAGAAAATTAATAAAAGCTGGCAAATCAAATCCTATTTGAGTACAAATAAAAGCAGCTACAAGGAAAGAGATTCAAGCAGCATATGAAATTTTGAAATATCAGGGACGAAAATTACCAGGGTAAAGAGGATACCAGTTCCCTGGAGTCAGCCCAAAAATCACGCCCAGAAAATGTGAAAAAATGCATTTGGTCCTGCCAAAAAAATAATAATGAATGACATGGCAAGGGAAATGAAAATAATATACCTAGTCCAAATCAAATTGAAAATTGTAAGTCAACTCTGGTGGATCAGCCTATTAATCTATGTTATTAGAGAAATTCCATCATTTCACCTGAGAGTTGCCTAGTAGATACAAACATGCCACATTCTACTATCTTCTCATCTTTCTATATTACAATAATGTTTAAGTGACATTCTGGATTGATAGAGAGAAATTCCATACAGAATGTGATTTGTTATCAAATCAGATTATCCCCATATCTTATTCAATAATTTAAAACATAAAGAAGCAGTAGAGCTTATACCATTTCGGTTGTTTGCAATTCCTTTGCACCAAGCTTTGCGAGTGAACCCCTTAAATGTTTGAACCAATGATTCTCTAAATTTGGGCAAAAATGACAAGAAACCTGCAAGAAAATTAAACAAAAATGACTACAAAACACACCATGCAAAACAAGAAAACGAAACAAGCATGGTTCGCTAAAATTGGAGGTGGCTATATATTTGAAGAGGGTCCTACCATAAACTGAAATTTGTTTACAATGCATACCCACCAAAACTTGTACTCCAAGTCTCCTATACATTTTAAACAGGTGTTGTTCCTATCATCTCTAAATCCTTTCAAAAAATACGAACAACTGAAAGATCAAGAAGCCAAACACAGCTTAGCACACTGTTGCAACTTTTGTATAGTTTTTGATGATTTAAGATGGTGTCTTGGCCCTTGGGCATGAAGAATCTACATAGAATGCATTAGGATATAGCTTGATGCTGCCACAGCACAATAAGAGACTGAAATGTCGCACACCTGAAAAAGTGATGCTTCACATGAACTGACTGCTTGCTCAAATGTGTAAAAGAGAGAATCATTCCATGCCAGTGTAAATGCTAAAATTGAGACACCCCCGTCCTCATTTAACTCAATCTGCCAAAACTTCATTATTCAAAATATGTACAATGTAATAACGCCTGTTTCAATCATAGCTTCGATTGACCATAGATCACAAAAAAAACAAAAAAGGCAAAATCCATATTAGTACCAGAGAGCCATCACATAAATCAGGACAAGAGAGACATTGGCAGTTCCATCAAGGCATAGAGAAAAGGAATCTAAATCACCTCAGGAATGAAAAAGTAATAACACTCATCCTTGCTCTTTTCTGTAGAGTCAGTATCGATATCAATATCTGGAAAACCATAGGCCGTCACGAGAATTGAATCATCTGAGAGGAATCTGCAGAAATTGTCAGCTTAACTGCATGAAGCGAAATGCAATACTTTACAACATGCGGGGCATTATCGTTTCTTAATTGTTAGATACATGCAGAAGCACTTCCATCATATCATACAGAGATTGCCCAAGTTCAGGATGTGCATCAACAAAGCAAATCGTACATTCACTCACCCCAACTAAGTGTTGTATCCTTTCGTTTACTAATTTGCATTCTGGGCAGATAAGAAGCGGATAGACAAGCTAAGCACAACAAAGGCCTACCTTTTTATCATGCTCTGTTTCCCGGGCTCCTGACAAGACGGATGCCTGAAAGAGATGGCGGTCCCGATACCGAAAACCCCGCGAGGTTCCTTAAAATATATGGATTTAGGAGAAGGGTCGTCTGTTTCTTTGGAGAGGAAGAACACGGGATATACCCCAGAAGATGATGGTTGACGGCAAAACCATTGCAAAGCTTTTGCACTTGGCGGCACAGCCACCTACACTCTCAGAATCACAGTACATTTGATAAAAGATAGAGCGAACCCAAAACTAAAGGAAGAGGAAGACGCGAGGATCAAAACCTGAAACCGCATGACGCCATTACAGGACCTCGGAGGATTCCGTTTCAGTTCGTCCACAACTTCTTTGATACTCTCAAGTCCACCCTCAAGCGTTAAGGCCGGTGGCAACGTACGAGTCACGCAAACTTCTACCATTAAATTCTCATCCTCAACCGCTTTCAACTCCTCCGTATCCATTATCGGCCCATCGAATTTCACCCCTCTAGCGACCTAGACAAACAAAACCCAGAACACGGAACCAAGTTTGCACAAACCCAGAGAACAAAAAAACTGAACGATTTTAAAACAAAAACGGAACTGACCTCGAAGTTTCTTCCGAACCCATAACGAGAAACCCGAAGAAATCCAGTTGAAGTGCCGGAGAACGAGAACGGTTGCTTTCTTCGTCTGATTGAGATACTGGAATTGCATTTCGGGGCTAGAAACGGTAGAATCGTGGGATTCGCAAACAAGGAAGAAGAGCAAGAAGATGGCATTTCCTGAACAGGGAGGTTCGAATTCGATCGAAATGGGTGGTGACTGGTGAGGGGTTTTGGAAGCTGAGGTTTTGGGTTTGGATAAGGAGAGAGAACCAAAACCAGGGACAGGAGCGTTTTTTGAACGTTACTTACCGTTGACCGTTGACTTATTGGGCAGGTGCTCTCTCAATCTTCGACCCATTTAATTGTGGGCCACATGATGAGCCCAAATTAATGGCCCACAATGATTTATCATCCCTTGTAATTTTCAAATTAATACCTTATGATCGTTGGCTATATGAAATATATTTGAATATACGAAATACAAATATCAAATATATTCGAAATTATATATATAGAATGTGTGTATTACACGCCTCTAGTAACGTGGTTGCATGGATTTATGCGAAGAAAGAGTATGCTATGAATCTCCACTAAAGAAACTTAATTAGTCGTTAATGATATGGTTTTGTTTTATTATACTACTTAATTAAAAACAATAAAACCTATTATTTTTAAGAAATAATGAAATGTTTTATTCATTAATTTCTTATGAATATGGCAATTGACCTTGTAAAGTTCAAACCTTTACGTAGAAATAAATAATCATGCAGTTCATTATCATCCAGATTTAAATTGTTAACGAATCACTAATCGAATTATAAAAATTAATGAATATAAATCAGACGCATGCATTTCATTTTTACATCTCAGTTCCTATCATCAACGTGGCGAAGGAGCTTCACCATTCTCGAGGAATGGTTGCTATTTGTCACCGGAGAGAGAGAGAGAGAATTGGAAACATCGAGGAAGAAGAAGATGGTGTTGTTAATGGCGATGGGATTGCAGACGGCGATGGATCTGATCGTCGCCGGCGTTTCTCTGATGATCGGATTAGGGTTCTTTGCTCTCGTCGCATCCATCCTCTGCTCCGCCGCCTTCCTCCACCACGCCAGAGCCGCCGCTTCCTGATCTCCCTCCGCCGCAACACCCTCGCCGGAGAAACAGGTCCGCCGTCTGATTTCCACCCCCTTTCCTCTCTAACGCAATACCGAATTCTACGGATCGGGAGCTATTTTCAGACACAAAACGGAAACTCTATACCGATTCCGATCGAAATTCGCCATCTTTAACCTAAAATCGTACCAAAACTCTATGCATTGGGAGCTGGAAACTGCCTTCAATTGCAAAAAGATGGAAACTTTCGATCAATTCGATTGAAAATTCCGTAACTTTACCACAAATTTTTCGTTGCAGAACCCAGTTCGAGATCTTGTCTGCATTTTTTCAGCGCGGGAATTAGAGAATGATGATCAGCGAGGAGACAATAGTTAGAGAAAAACTGTAATTTCGTAACAAATGGATCCAAATGTAAGCTAAATAACACTGGAAAATGTATGGTCTACGGTCGAAATCGGAAATTTGAAAAAGAATTTCCAGTAAAGTTTGAATCTTTTTCCATTCTATTTACTCTTCTTCTGTTTGCGTGAATAAACCATTCCTCGGATCCCATCCGGGTCGGCCACGAACCCTAGCGGGCGGTAGAACCCCAGAACCCGAGGCTCCGAGTACAAAGCGATGTTGCAGATCCCTCGCGCCTGCAGATCCTCGACCAGCCTCTCCATCACCGCCTTCCCGAGCCCGATCCCCTGGAACGACGGGTCCACCACCACGTCCCACACCACCGCGTTGAACACTCCGTCGCCGGTGGCTCGAGCGAACGCCACCGGCCTTCGCGTCTTCTCGTACTCCACCCACAGGATCGCGTCCGTGTGCTCCAGCGCCACCGCGATCTTCGCCGGGTCCCGCCGCGGGAACCCGACGGCGACGAACACCGAGTTCAGCTGGTCCAGGTTCAGCCCCTCGGCGCTGCGGCGGAGGAGGAAGCCCTTGGACTCGAGATCAGCGTCGGTGATCGAGTAGCTAGGCGACCGGCGTTTCCCGGTTGACAACGGTACCGCCACCGATTGGGAGGGTTGTACTGCGGCGGCGATCAGCCGGAGAGAAGCCGGCGGCGAGGAGATTTTGCCGGCAAAAAGCATGGTAGTCTCTGCTTCTCCTAGTACGTCTGAATTCTTGTCGTCGTCGTGATAAAACACAGAGGGAATATATTATTTTCTCTTCTTTTATGTCAAAGTTCTGAGATTTTGAGATAAGGCAAGGTCTTTGTGTGGCTGTGGATAATGGAAAAGCTCTAGCTTTTCTTTTATTTTTCCCGAGAAAACAACAGAATCATAATAATCCGTACGAAAGAGCTGGTGGTTGTCAGTGACAGTTGATGAATAACTCACACTGTGGGGTTTAGTTCGAGAGAGGTAGGTTTTTTGGCGGGAGATGAAGGGTCTTGAAATAAACTCCTTGAAACGTTAAAGGTCAACACTTTGAGTTCATTGGATCTTAGTTTCTGAGGAATCCTTTGCTTATTCTGTTGAGATTTATTACACTTTTCTTTTGTGTTATGCTTTGCTTTATTGCCATAAACCACATACAGGTCGAGAGCTACATTAGCTTTAGTTGGATTCAGGTGCCTTAACCATAGCAGCTTCCTTGACATTGTTCTCCTTTTGTTCTAAGGTCTCTGGCTTGTGATGGGTAGGCGATGAGTGTTCTGCTTCTTTGAAGTTTCCAGCCCTTTTGCTCACCAGAGACTTGTACAGACCCTTGTCCAAGTGTATATGTAACCCTCTACACGAACCAGAAGTGCAAGCCACCGGTTTGCAGTACATGGTCTCCCTGTAGCTTGCCCCACCCCCGACCCCAGGGAGCCCTCCGCTACAATAACTATCGTGATTGCCTGACCACCCGCAACCACTGGCATAACCTCGCAACTTGGTATGGTCATCATCATTTCCATTACCACCAAAGAAGGTGCCTTCATCACCACCTTCCAAATAGGCTCTGTCCTTGTGACCACTCAAATGGTTTCCATGGACACCAAAACCGAAATGTGCATCACCAGAGCCCAAATGGACTCTGGTACTACCCCCGCCTCCAATGCAGATGCCTGGAAGGCAAAATTCGCCACCATAACCAAAATGATTCCCACTAAACCATTTCTCATTTATGTTTAGAGAACCAACTGCTAAGCTCAGTAATTGTGTTAGAGAGAAGGAGACACATATCAACTTTAGTACTGCCATTTCCTCTTTCCGTCTTCTGTTTCCTTGGTGGTTTTAGGCTTGAGGAGAATCGTTTAGCTTATATAGAGATCAATATGGTGTCATGCTTTTGTTCTTTGGCAGTAAAAGGAGCAATAAATCTGGAAATAGATGAGTAACGTATTGAATTTTCTTTAAAATCTGTTCTGTAAGGATGTCATGATACATTTATTAGAGAGGAAATTAAGGGTATTGTTAGTTGGGTTTGCTTCAAGTTCCTCTCTTTTCTATTCAGACAATTTAAATCAATATGACTTGTTACACCATCTACTTTCGAGGTCCTTAGTTCGACGATTCTGAATCTTCGACTACAAATTGGATCCTAGTGTTTTCTGTATAGATTGTCCGGGCTGAAGTTCTTCTACGACAGGTCAGTTTCGACAATGTGTGTGGTTGAAACATCTGACGTATTTTCGAGCATACTTGGATTTGATATTTGAACCACTTGAAGCTATTTTGGGAGAAAACCTATTGCCATGTGCTGGATTTCACCATTGTTTTGAGATTACTCAATCTCCCTAGGTTGATTGAGAGTTCTTTTGATGTTTCTTGAAAACCTAGTGTAACGAATATGGTTCATCGGTGTTGATGATAGACTTCTATAAACCACGTTCCAGGTATTATGGAACCCACCACATGCTCCTGCTGGACAAGACAATGGTGTGATGTACTGTACAGGCCCAGGTCACTCCAACCGCGATATCAGCCAAGGATGTTGCCAATATGGTAGAACCTGTCTAGTGGGCTAGTTGCTTAGCCAGCGCAGTTGGAACCCACCCAAAATGTCAGGACTATCAATTCTTTCGTCTCTTTGAAAAGAGAGGCCTAAGCTGAATGGTACCAATGGTGAGTATATCGGCTTTTGCGTTCTGCCATTGTCTTTCTCGATCGCATTTCTGATGTCTAGATGATTTGAAAAAACCCGGCTGAGTTTCGTGGTCAAATCTTATAACATAAAGAAGCTTGGAGTGAAAAAATTTGTTGAGTCAAGAGAAATTTGTGATTCCTGGCAGCGTCCAACCAGTTTGTGAAAGATATTACATTTGGTGCAGAAGCATCTGAAACTTTGATTTTTTTTTTGTTCCGTGTATGGGTTGGCCAATATGAAAAGGCTTTGATGATTAGGCTTTGTTTTCTTTTGTTTGGCAGGATGCCTCTGTAATCTTTCTCTGAGGTCACAGTCCAAGTGAGAATGGAAATGTGCGCAGGTTACATTGTTGATAGAAGTGATGGGCCATTCAGCTTCGGCTGTCACCGTCTCCTCAGAGGTAAAATTTGCTAGACCAGGTCCAATGTTCTTTCATTCTGCGTTCACTGAGTGACCACATTCTCCTTTATGACACTCTTTTGCATGCATTTTGGTGGGTCATGGAATAAAGATTGGACGACCCATCTTTCATTTTCATCTACCTGTTCATTTGCTCCTACGTGCATCGATAGATTGGAGATTACAATGCTGAAAGCGACTTGAGAATATCATTATGTGACTGTGAGTGCTGCCCTCTTGCAGCGAGATGCCAGCTCAACTCCTCCTTGTTCTTTTCTCTCTTCTCATTTCATGTACTAACTGCCCGCCCATTGGTTAGAATTATCTGCTTTCAAGATTGACGATTTCAGTTATACTTTTCAAATCCTATGATAGCATATGTACGAACTGATTGGTCAAAGATTGATGTTGTTGTTGTTTTTCTGCTGCAATGTCAGCAACAAGAACAGATTCAAAGAGGCAGAGAATTGCAGGAACAGGTATTGGAGTATATCCGCACAACAAACCGGTATTACACAGTAAGATCCGAAGAAAGAAGACATATATGGATAAGTTGCAGGAACAGCATCTGCATATACACCAAAAATATTTTCTTCGCAAGCCTCCAGTGTGGCGTCTGGACTAAAAGAGGCAGGGGATTTTTCAAGAACAGTGGCTTTTGTCATTGGATTAAGATAAGACCAAAACCTGGCGGTACCTTCAAGTGGTCTTGCTCATCTTGTTTCTGGTTTGAACATGGCTAGCTGCAGTGGTTCTTGTCCTAGCGTTGAGCAGTGACTTCTTCTTTTCATCTGCAGATGATTTCTTCTTCGCCTTCTCGGTCAGTTGATGATGTTGATGTATGATCACTTGTTGTTTGGAACTGTTCTCTGCAGCTGCATGCTTTGTGTTGTCCCTTTGAAGCTGGTTGCTTGGCCCTGAAGAGGCATCAGAAGCCATCGAGTCGTCGTCATCATCATCATCATCGTCATCATCTCTCTCGTGGAAATCATCAACAACACCAGAATGCTCATTTCCATTGAAGGCATCATCGAGGTACATGGTCCATCCAGATTCGCCACTGCTGTTCTCCTCATCTACCATTTCCGAAAACTCCATCTCTCCTCCCATGCACAAAGCACAAAAGGCAAAAAGGTCTAAACTTTAGCCTAAACACACACAGCTCTCTCTCTCTCTCTCTCTCTCTGTGTGTGTGGTTCAGTCCACAACTCCACCTTGCCCTGTGATATATAGCCAGCCTCGGTGGGTTTTGTCTCTTCCTTGGCTTTGCTCTTTCGTGAATCAATAAATACACTTTTGGTTTGTTTTTTCTTTGGTTGTTGTTTGATGAGCAGAAGGAAAGCCGGAGCCTATGGGATCATGGGCATATAAGGCTCTCACCACATGGCAGCCCCAAGGCTCCATTGTTTTCACTCAATTCAAGCACTACAAGACAAAGTCCATTTTCCACATAGATATGCAAGCAAGGTGAGTGCCTTCTTCATCACAAAGTACAACTTATATGCATACACACACATGTCACACATATATGTGTATATATATATATTGATATTGTTCCCAGGAAAATGGTTTGGTTTGTTTGAACCCCAAGACCGGAGTCTACAGATATCACCAAGCACCGATCCCCACCAAAACCAGAGATGATCCCTTTAAGCCCCTCTCTCTCTCTCTCTCTCTCTCTCTCTCTCTCTCTCTCTCTCTCTCTCTCATAAAGACTGATGTAAGCTCATTGATTACCTTGATCCTCCTTTTCTTTTTGACTTTTTCATATTTGAAAAATATAACCATATGATCTAATCTTTATCTCTCTCTCTCTCTCTCTCTGTATGGATACAGCAGTGGCTTCTCATAAATATGAAGAAGAGCAGCAGCTTTTGAGGTGGCGAAAGCACAGGCCTCATCTCAACCAAACAGGAAGGGGGATATATATGAGTGAGAGAAGCGGGTTTTTTCTTAATTAGGTTAGGAGCACTTCCTCTTCCTCGTTCCTTTATTACTCTTCACCACCTCCACTCCTGTCATCCTCATCAAAAAAAGCGGCAGCCTTTTCAACCCAACTGGATCTTTTATTGTCGTTTACTTCCTCCCCTCTAAGCAAACAATTCCCTTGGTTACAGCTAAGCAAATCAAGCGTTAGGGCAGATCCAACATTTACAAAAAGGGTAATTTTTTTTTTTACTTTTGACCCTTAATGTGGTAAGTCCATTTAGTTCTTGGCCTTTTATGATTTATATGAATCTCATTCATAGTACAAACACAATAATAACGATAATAATGCACACCGCCGGTGTGGGTCTCAGCGAATTGATGTTTTAGGATTATTTGAATTTCGCATATCGTTAATGGTTTTAATAAGACGTTTTGTGTTCATTCGATTCTCTTGCGGGTCCCACGTTTACACACACACACACATTATGTTTGATATAGTGTACCATCTTTCACAAGTTCGTATTAGTTTACGTGCATGTTGGATATATATATATATATATGTGTGTGTGTATGTGTCATGTGTGTGTATATATATATGTGTGTGCGTGTGTGTGTATTTCTTAGAAGACATTAGGGTAGGCGCTTGTGGAAGAGAGAATCTGTGTTGGTTCTTAATTCGTATAATTTAACTAACCTATAGGCTCATCAATTGGCCTAATTGAAATGTGTTGAATATTTTCTCGGTTTAATCTTTTTTTTTTGGTCATCGCATAAGTCTAAAAATGAAATAATTGAATTGATTTTCTTGGGATATGACCTTTATTTTATTTTATTTTTTGGTTGGGTTCCCTTAGAAATTCCTAACAATGCTGATTGGGTTGTTTTATTTTATTTTATTTAATTTTTGGTGCTCATTCTCTCCAAGCACATGCATCCCTCTTAAAAAAAAATTGTTATTTAATTTCCGTTAGATGAGAGAATATATATATGCATATATGATTAGACAGTCATCCACTTTTTTTTGGCCAAAGCAGATAACAAATTATTATATTATATATGTAAAATATAAATATCTTTATTTTCGTCATTAGTCTGGATTTCGACCTTATGATATCCGATTACAAAAAAAAAATATAAATCATTTATATATACATATATATATATACACGCATGTATTTATATCATCTTAAGTATTTGGGAATTGGGATATGATTTACCATTCATGCAATTAAGTGATTGTGATGCATTTCTAGAATGCAAATGATGTAAGCTATAATAATAATAATAATAATAATAATAATAATAATAATAATAATAATGTCCTTCCAAGTGTGGTGTAGTGGTAAAAGAGTTCATAATTCCGTTATCCAAAAAAATAGTTTAGCTTGAGTTGTGTGATAAGAATCTGTTATTTTTTTTTGTAAATATCATCGTATTTTAATTTTTAACATGAAAATTTCATAAATTATGTGTAATTATTTGTTATCCAATATGTAGAACGGAAATCAATAGGGTGGAGCAAGTTGGCAAAATGGTCCCAATTTAAATACTCGGGGACTTGAAAAATATTTAGGTCTATAGCTCAGTTATTTCTTAAAGTATTTATCATTAACAAATTTTCATTTTTATTTCAATTATTTTTATATCTATAAAAAGTTATATCCTTGAAATCTGATTCAATTGCTAATATCTCTATATATACTATTGGAATAATTGAGATTCAATATTTTTTCTCTGAATTCAAATAACCATCTCTCAAAAGATTTTTATATACAATTTTATTTTAAATTAATATTTTATCTAATCAACCGTTGTCATTATAAGTGTCTGAATCAAGGTTAGTTTAGAAAATTATGAAGGCGATATTATTATTATTATTAAAAGCTGTGTGTTTAAAATTTTGAATACAAAAGATGTGGGCATGTCGGCTGACAGACATTTGTCCTAATAATAATAATAATAAAAATAATAATTTTGCGTCTTAATAACCACAGCGACATTCTTTGATTACGCTTTTGTACTCTGTATCACAGCTGGACGGACTTTGTGCACCGAAATTCCGTTATCGAACTCAGCCATATAAAATTATAAAATAATATCTAAATAAATATTGTAGAACATAATCATAAACCAAAATATTGTTTTTATTATTTCTTTTCCTTTGCACGAATCTGTTATATAACTTTTACTATTCAGTCTTTTTGGATTTAGGTTTAAAAATATTTTGTTACAAAGAATTATAAAGAGTAAAGGAAAATTGCAAGAGCTCGGAAGCTTCCGGACGAAGTGGAAGCTTACATGTGTCTCGTGTCTTCGTCTTCGTCAACATTTTCTCTCCGTTTTCAGTCGTCATACTCGATCTTTTCATTAGCACTAACGAAAAATGATTTCTTTTTTATAAAAAAATGATTTCTTTCTTCGTGAAAAAATCAGCCAAAAGAAGATCCAGAGAAATGATCCACAGACTTCCTCTGTTTTTGTTTGACTTGAAAACGCAGAGCAAGAGACCGAGGGAGGTATCAAGAATCAGCGCCGAAGAATCTGTTCTGTTTTCCGACAGTTTTCGTAATATTCCGACATGGGTTTGTCGGATTTGGTGAAACCCTCGGATTGGGATCAGGAATCTTATCCAGATTCCACCGATTTCCGGGTCCTCCCTTTCCTCGCCGTCTTCTTCTTTCTCCTCCGATTTATCCTCGACAGATTCTTTTTCGAGGTAACCAGCTAAGACCCTGAATCTTAAATCCACTCAGTTTCATAATCTTCTGCAGAATTCACGTCTGTTTAAGCTCTGTTCCTGTCTGTCAGGAAGTGGTACAAAGCTTGAAACTTGAAACTCTGTTTCCCGTTTCTTGGGAAACAAGCAACGCCTCTTTCCCCGATGATTTTCACATGTTTTATGCAGAATTAGTCTCTGTTTTGTTCAAACAAATGGATATGAGGGATACGTATTGTGGTGCAGAGACTGGCCGCTCGTCTGATAACTCGACAAGCTCACCATAAACTCGACCAGAGACGTAAGAAAATCGTGAAATTCAAAGAGTCGGCTTGGAAATTTCTGTACACTTTCTCTGCGGAGATTTTGGCTCTTTACGTCACTTGCACAGAGCCGTGGTTCACAGACACAAGGCACTTCTGGTTAGGACCGGAGGACCAAGTCTGGCCTGACCTCAAACTGAAGTAAGACAGAACATATGTTCTATCTTGAAAACCACTGTAGTCAATGCTACAGAACTTGTTTGCTCAATAGATTTTGAGTTTGAAAACGATGTTTCCCCGAGTTAGATCGAACCCGGGATACGATTATTCGTTCCGTGAGTTTACGGATCATTTGATTCGACATCTGACAGGTTGAAACTGAAGGTCATGTATACATTTGCCGGTGGATTCTATGTGTATTCTTTCTTTGCTCTGTTCTTATGGGAAACAAGGCGTTCTGATTTCAAAGTCATGTTGGCTCATCACATCACGACTCTTCTTCTCCTTGTCTTGTCATACACTTTCAGGTATACTTCCACACAAATATGTATATATACATATATAAGCAGTTATCTTGTTGATCAAACATAGAGCTAAGTTCACTTGTTGATCGATCTGTATTACCCTTTATCCAGATTTGCACGTATAGGTTCAGTAATAATGGCCATTCACGACGTAAGCGATGTGTTTCTCGAGACAGCGAAGATGTCTAAATACAGCGGGGCGGAAGCCATAGCGAGCTTCTGTTTCATTATCTTCGCATTGTCGTGGACCGGTCTTCGCCTCGTCTACTTCCCTTCCTGGGTCCTATGGAGCACAAGGTTCAATCTTTTACCTCGTTCTTCAATACCCTAAACTCTAAACCCTAAATATCGAAATGTTGTTTTTTGTCGATCTATGTGCATGCATGCAGCTATGAAGTTATCTCAATATTGGATGGTAAGAAGGAGAAGAAGGAACTGCAGATATATTATTACGTATTCAACACACTGCTCTATTGCTTGTTGGTTCTTCATATATATTGGTGGGTTTTGATCTGCCGTATGGTATTCAGACAAATCCGTGGCAATGGCAGACTCACCGATGATGTTCGTTCTGGTAATGAATATGTTGTCTTCTTCCTCTTGCTAGTTTTGCATATCATCTTCTTATATACGTATATATATATATATATATGTGCATATACATACGTTTTTTTAACGTATCTTCAACTTGAGTCTTACAGATTCTGAAGGTGAAGATCATGAACATGAAGACTGATATAATATTGTGGAATAAAGGGTATGTACTTATGTACGTACGTTCGTATGTATGTATACTACAAAAAAAAAGGCTAAATTCCTTCGGATTTTTCCAACGGACAGATCCCTTGGAAAAATTCCAACGGATTTCCAACGCACTTTTCCAATGGATATCCGTTATATTTTTCCAACGGATAGCCGTTGTAAATACCGTTGTAACATTCCGACGATGAGTCCAATGACATTTCCAACGGATATCCGTGGCAAACGCCGTTGGAACTCCGTTAGAAAGTTTCTAACGGATATTCTAACGTTCCGTGGAAAAATTGCCACGGATTATCCGTTGGAAAGATACCACGGAATTATCCGTTGGAAATCCGTTGAAAATTTTTAACGGATGACTGCGTTGGAATTCTATTTAGAAAATGTCACAGATTTCCAACGGAATCGATTTTCCAGCGACGTTTTTCCAACGGAAAAATCCGTTGGAAATCCGTTGGAAATGTCGATTTCTAACGGATTTTCGGTCTTTTCCAACGGATTCGCTGGTTGGAATTTGAGGTTTTTTTTTTGTAGTGGTATGCTCAATGTTCTTGATGCTTTTAGGCTCTCTTGTTACATCTTTCAATGTAACTATATATATATATATATATATATATATACTAATTGTGCACGAACAGGACCGGCCAGTATATATCACACCGGTTCTTGTAATGTTAGCTTTGATAATTGACCTATGCCAAACCATGAAAGAACCGGTTTGGTGTGAAACCGGTTTGTTATGAAATGAGTGAAAACGAAGAATCCTTACGGCTGACTAGGGGTGGACACGGGTCGCGTATCTCCATTTGTTAGGAAATCCGGTTTCGGTCTCATCACCACGGGTTTTACAAAAACTTAATCTCATTTTTGGCTTCATGAGATTCGAGTACCCTTAAATCGGGTTCAATAAGATTCTCAGTCTCGTATTCGGGATACCCGGACTCATACAAATAAAATTCAAAACTTTTTATAACTTATAAAATTCAATAAAAAATAACTTAAATAAAATTCAAAACTCGATTCCATAATTTATATAGATTGAGAAGATAAAAAAAATAAATAAAGTAAAAGTATTTTAGTAAATAATAAATATACCTTATATGAATATTTTCTTTTATATAAATGTTATAAATATAAATGATATTTTGAATTTTTAATATATATACTGGGTATCCGGGGTACCCGTTATGAAATAATTGAAACCCGGATTCGGAGGTCAAAAACTCGGCTTCGTTATATTTGGTCTCGTCATCATTAATATTCGGGTACCTTTTATCCGGCTACTTGTTGAACTAAGTACCTCCAAACCTCCGAGTTACGGGTTACAACGTCTATCCCTACGACTGACTCTAAATAAACTTGAGATTAAGACCGACGTTAATATTGATGTTGATATTGACCTGTACCAAAAGTGGCAGAAAACACACTCTCGAGTCCGCAGATATCAGATATAAGAAAAATAAAATTAATCTTTTTGGTTCACATCTGTACCAAGAATTAAACCGGAGTTTGAAAACACAAACCGAATTCACTCAGTTGCACAAAGTCACTAAACAAAACCGGGAAAAAGAAAGCCGATCCAATGTGGTAAAATCAACGTACTATGATGGACTTCCATTCCCTTTAATATGTTCTATGGCCCCACTTTAATAATAATAATAATAATAATAATATAAATCATAATTAGTTTTTTATTATAAAATAATAATAATTAGTTTGCTGTATTGTTTCCTTAAATCAAGGAATCGGTATTTTTCTCCCTCTTTTTCCGGTGACTAGCAACTTGCACGATTAATGTATTTAATTAACCATTAACTATAATTTTTTATGATTTTTTTTTCATAAATCCAATGATTTGTATGAAATTATCAGTAATTAATATGGTGCTACACATTTTTTTTAATCACCACTACGTCAAACTAAAATGTACTATTACATTTTATTTTTTTAATAAAAGAATTGATTGTTTTTTAATAATTTAATGCGACTGATGTGAGATCGAAGATCTTAGATTAAGGGGCATGTGACACTCAGTACGAAGTCGAAGGCTTTTTTTTTTTTGTCTCAAGTGCATTGCCACGTGGGATCCTTGTCACTTTTCTTATCGTTGGTACTTTTAAAACCCTAAAGTCAATTTTGATTTTAACCATATTCAAACAAACAATTATCATCATATCTATTAGTTAATATTTCTAAATTTCTACTCTATGAAAATTTGATTATTTTTATATTTAGGTTAAAAATTGAATTTTATAAAGGAAATAACTACATGTTAAATTTATTTTATTTGTTAATTATTTTTATATTTGTTTTGAATTTGGTTTGGATGTACCCATTTATATATATATATATATATATATATATATATATTTACTGAAAATTTATATCAAATTGATTTGAGATATTATTATTTATTATTCCGTTCAATACGATTCAATTGTGCATAATTTACAAAAATATTAACTTCTAATCACAACAATGGGATCGTTTATTTATACTCAAACTTTGGTAATAAATCATAATATATATAAGTATATATATAACAGACAATAATAATGTAATCGATAGTACAACATCGGCGATATTTGGTATCCTCAAAAACATTATCACCATATATCGTATATATAATACATACGTATTTAATATCGTTTAAAATAATTGTTCTCTTTTTAAAGATTCGTTTAGACTTTTTTTTTCTTAATTATCACAATGAAAAATAATCCGAATTTATCAGAAATTAAAAAAAAAAAGATTTGTCAATTGACCTACATTTCAAATATCGACAATGTTTTTCTTTTTACAAATATAACTCTCTTCATATAAACAAAACAAATGATAAATCATATTTTATAAAACTATAAATAATTAAAAACCAATCCACACCCCATTATAAATTTCACCACCACTACAAACTTTGAAATAAATTGATTTAATGTACTTTGAGTTAATTTGATTACATAGATCAATGAAATTAAATACTACACAGTATACGGACCAATGGATAATAATTGTGGAAAGTATTCCGTATTTGTTACTATGGAATTCAGTGAAACTGAATTTCTATTTACAGAAATTAAAATTAACCAATTAAATGATAGGAAGAAAAAAAAGTACATATAGTAAATTTGACCGCGACATCACATAAAGTAACAATGTCAAAATAAACCCTGCTTGCTTATATCGTAGGAAATAATATTTGAATTTTTTATAGTCAATATATATCAAAATATTTATTATAATTTGGATATATAAATCATTGACAAACTCTGAGGAGGTTAAAAGGATTCGAACCCTCAATTTTAAAATTAAACAACATAATACTCAACCAAAGTTTTCCCCATAATATTTGTATTTTTTATAGTCAATATATATATATATATATATCAAAATATTTTTATATTTAGAATTATTAAATATACGATATATCTGCATCATTAAATATTTTTTTTTTCAAATATACAGTGTATATCTACAAGCAAACTTTTCCATTTTTTAATATAAAGTGCAGCTATTTTATTAGCTTATTTTTTTAAATAATGAGAATAAAACTTTGAAATGATAACAAAGACGTGTATTTTATATTCGTGGGACACTTATTCGGCCATGAAATAAAGGTGTTGATTATGAAAGATTCAAAAGAGGTTACAATAGTCTTATAGACCAATGGACCAATTCCTAACCTCGTATATTATAATTTACAGAAAAATAAAATCCATTCATAAATAAATAATTTTTTTAAAAAAAAAGTAAACCAGTTCAAACGAGAAATAATAGCTTTATATCACAAAAAATATATTCTAGTTATTGTTCGATAGGTTTTTGATAGAATAATGATTATTTTATATGTATAAGAATATTTTTTATAGAAAAGAATAACGTTTTTTAATTTTTATTTTATGATAAATATCAGTTTTTTTATATTTATCACGTTTTTCCTGTCAATATATACATATATATATATATATATATATATATATATAGGGTGTAAATGCTGCAACTGGAATTCGTGAGAATTAACGAAAGAATTGCAAAAAGGGGAAAATAACGAACAGAAAAAAAAAATCAAGGAAAAAAAGAGAGAGAGAGAGAGAGAGAGAATCAAAAGGTATTAAATTGGCTTATTTTCATTCTCTCTCTGTCTCGTGGGTCTTTCTCGAGATCTTTTGCAGATTCTCTCGAAATCTCTTCCCCCCACCGAAGGAGAAGAAGCTCTTGAGAGAATCGGGATTCCTTCCTAGTTCCCCCCCTGTAATACACAATCGGAATTCGTACTCGCTCTTGTTACTGTCATTTTGTGGGTTTTTTCTCTGAGAATCAGCGGAAAACCTCCCGATTTCCAGGAGCTACGAGAAACTTCCCTGTGAGTTTACCACTCAATCTCCGACAAATCCGCTTCAAAGTTTTGAATTTTGTTCGTGGGTGTTTGTTTTCTGTCCAAATTGCCATCTGGGTATTGTGCACCTTTGGACTCTCATGGTTGTGATCTGTGATGAAGAATTGTTTGATCGATTTCTCTGATTGGGTTTGGTTTCGTTTCCAATCCTCGCATGATTATTTTCTGTGGGCGGCCTACATTTTCAGCATTGCTCGTTATGTTTTTTCATGTCCAATAACTATCACGAGGGCTCCGCTGTTACGACAGAGCTCATCATCAGTTAGGACTGACTGTCTTTGTCTTGTCTTCTTTCCTTTGACTCGTTCCATGATTTTACTGCAAATGTGGCTGTTTTCTGAAATTGTGCCGTGCAGTTCAGCCGTATGACCTGAGCTTTTTTTCTGCAGCTTTGCTGTTCGTTTCAATAACTGTGTTGCTGTTGCAGGCTGAAGAAGATTCAGTCGCTTCATTCATGATGAGTCAAGACTTGAATGGGGTGGAGTTACATCACAGGAGGTATGGTTTATTGAAAGACCAAGTGCAAGTGGTCAAGAGAAAGGACTCCGATCGGTACGAGATAGTTCCCATTCAAGATCGGTTGTCTTTCGAGAAGGGCTTCTTTGCAGTCATCCGGGCTTGCCAATTGCTATCTCAGAAGAATGATGGGATCATATTAATTGGAGTTGCTGGTCCTTCTGGTGCTGGGAAGACCGTTTTTACCGAGAAGATACTCAGTTTCATGCCAAGTATTGCTGTCATATCCATGGATAACTACAATGATGCTAGTAGAATTGTGGATGGAAACTTTGATGGTAAGCATTTACGCCTTTTTATATGTCTGTATGTGTGTTTCTCCAAGTTTTGACAATGTATATATATTTAATCGCGCTAATATTATATCTTTCAACATAGATCCACGGTTGACGGACTACGATACACTACTCAAGAATCTTGAAGACTTAAAGGAAGGAAAGCAGGTTGAGGTTCCAATTTATGATTTCAAGTCCAGTTCCCGCATCGGATACAGGTAAGCACTGTTCAATCTGGATATATGACACTATCATTTGCTTGTTTAACTATGCTTGTTCATTGCCCTGAAAGTTGTATATGATGTTGAATTTTACTTTTTTTTTACCGACTTCTCGAAATGAATTCTTATCATGATTAGCCTGTGGGTTGTCCTTCTAGGTTGTCTCATTTTAAAGGGCTTTTGCCTGGGGATATTCTTTTGTCCTGATCCCACAATGTTATGTTGTTAGGACACTTGATGTCCCGGCTTCACGGATTGTGATTATCGAAGGAATCTATGCTTTGAGCGAAAAGTTGCGACCTTTGCTGGATCTTCGCGTGTCCGTTACTGGCGGAGTTCACTTTGATCTCGTTAAACGGGTTCTCCGTGATATACAGCGTGCAGGCCAAGAGCCAGAAGAAATAATCCATCAGATATCTGAAACGGTTTGTCTTTGCTTTTTCATGTATGTAGTTGTTTGGTATCCTAGTTTCCTCGGTATCTTTACAAGGGAAAAGTTAACTATATATATGCAGGTATATCCTATGTATAAAGCTTTTATAGAGCCCGATCTCCAGACTGCTCATGTGAGGATTATAAACAAGTTCAATCCATTCACCGGCTTTCAAAGCCCGACATATATCTTGAAGGTTTTGGTTTTGACTAATGCCCTGATTTGATTGTCATACAGTTTGTGTCAGCACCTCGTTTAATTCTAAGTCCTTAAACGCCGTTGATTTGTTTGTAGTCGGGAAGGAAAGTGTCTGGGGATCAAATCAAGGCTGTTCTATCTGAAGAACATGCAGAGAGTAAGGAGGAGATTTATGATATATATCTTCTTCCTCCAGGTGAAGATCCAGAGTCATGCCAATCGTATTTGAGGATGCGCAACAAAGATGGCAAATACAGCCTCATGTTCGAGGTTTGGCCCTTTCGTGTTTAGGCTGGAACTCTTCTAACAATTGCTTTTGAATGTTTACGATGAATACGTTCTGTTCCTATTCTTTGATGATCAGGAATGGGTTACCGATAGCCCTTTCGTGATTTCTCCGAGGATTACTTTTGAAGTGAGTGTCCGCCTTCTCGGTGGGCTTATGGCATTGGGATACACAATAGCTACCATCCTTAAAAGGAATAGCCATGTATTTGGTAATGACAAGGTCTTTGTGAAAATCGATTGGCTTGAGCAACTGAACCGTGAGTACATTCAGGTAACTTCTATCCAACTCTTTCACCTCTCCATTTACCGAATTAAAGATTTAGAATCTATGGCCATAATGACTGACTGCTAAAAGTAAGTGTACATGAACATGACAGTCTTGAAACTGAAAAGTAGATAGATGTCTTTCCTCATTCTTGTTCCTATGAGTAGATTTTGTGTCTTGTCGGATGTTCTTAACAATGTTAAAATCGGTCTTGATCAAGGTGCAAGGTAAAGATCGGCTACTTGTGAGAGATGTTGCAGAGAAGCTGGGACTGGAAGGATCATACATTGCACGGACTTATATCGAACAGATCCAATTGGAAAAACTAATAAACGAAGTCATGGTATGGGTTTTGTGTCTATACAGGCTATGAAATTGTTTCTCTTCAACCTTTGTGTTGGTCCTAACCAAAAAATAAAATTTAAAAAATTAAAAATTTGCAGGCCCTACCAGATGATTTGAAGACCAAGCTTAGCCTAGATGAGGACTTGGTGTCGAGTTCAAGCCCGAAGGAAGCTCTTTCACGAGCCTCTGCTGAAAGAGTTGCTATGAGGAACAAGAACCTCCAAAGGTAGTAACAGTCACTTTGAAAGTGCTTACATGTTTCTGAATCTTTAATTGATGAACGTGATGTAATAATCATATGCCGTTGTTACAAAACAGGGGCATGTCTCATTCATATTCTACTCAGAGAGATAAGAACCTGTCCAAGCTTGCTGGATATGCTTCGGATAGTAGGAGATACGAAGAACGAAATCAAGAGTCCCGGGCGATTTTGGCAAACCAGGTTTTTACACGTTTTTTCCCCGGTTTTTTGCTTTTGAAGTCTTTCATTTTCAGATCAAGTTTACACTTTGGTTTTTTTTCATCTTTGTTAGGGATTTATGACTCAACTTTCGGAGCAAATCTCATCGCTGAATGATAGAATGGACGAGTTCACAGCTCGGATCGAAGAGCTTAATTCCAAGTTGAACAGCAAGAGGAATTCTCCGAGCCCACAGAGCATGGCTCTTCAAGCTGAAGCCTGTAATGGGTCTGCCCCTACTACACATTTCATCGCTGGTTTGGACAACGGGTGTCTGACCAGTTCCATAATGCCGAACTCTTCCTCGTCCTCCCTCTTGGCCAAGGATTCATCATTAATGGAAGAGGTAGGGTATCATCATATTAACCGAGCCACCTTTCCCGTTCTAGTTAAGACATTTATAATGCCAATGGCGGGTGACTTGTGTTGAAACAGATAGCGATGATAGCGAGAGGACAGCGCCAAGTGATGCATCAGGTGGACAACCTTTGCAACCTCATGAGGGAAACCACGACAGAGAGGTTGAACATAGCTAGAACAGGAAGAAGTAATAGCAGAAATGACAGAACCAGAACAAGAACAATGGTGTCTTCCACCATTGATGAGCCCATAAGAAGCAGCAGCAGCAGCTTTCCTCTAATGGCGACATTGGCCATTGGCGGTATTGGCATTGTATTGTGGAAGGGCTTCTTCATTAACCGGCACTGACCCCATCTTCTTTCAGAGCTATTCTATGGAACTTCAGTCTTCTTCCTCTGTTTCTCACTTGGAACTTTGCCCTCTTCTTCACAGAATGATTCTGTTTGAACATTTTCAGAGATAGTGTGGAAGCATTTTGAGGAAAAGCTTCCAAACCGGTTTTTCTCTATTATGGTGGATGAAGACGGCATTTCTCCTCATTTTGGAAAGACTATAATAATTTCGATTCATTTCAATAAAATCTCTTAGATTTTCAGCCTCTCCTTTCCCTTCCGTATGAAGCAAGTACATGTTTCCATGTGAAAATTCCACCAAGTAAATTATATAACAATATGCACTCTAAAAGAGACAAGGACACAATAACAAAGAACACACAGATGTTGTCTGAACAGTCTTCACTGGTATTATATGATATATTTCACTCTTTGGCCATGTAACAGTGACAATATAAAGCAATCTGATGGTTCTTTTGTATCCATACATATATACACACATGCACACAAATTTGCTTCCATATTGACAGCATTTGAAGGATCTGCAAGAACAAGAACGTCATCTGATTCCATCAAATAGCTTTGTCCAACCAAACAGGCAATCTCAAGGAAGATTTCATTCCGAGTCTTGTGAGGAACACAGAGTAGAGAAGATGCAGCAACAACACGAAGAACCCACTGTTCAGCAACAGCTGTTCCAAGGAAAAAAAAAGGTTGAGCTTTCCTCCCGTTTTTTTTTTCTGTGTTTAAGAGACGGAAAAAGACATACCACTGTCCCGAATATGGCGTAAATGAAGTTCATAGAAGGAATAGTGTTCAATCCCACGGCGGTGAAGATGTAAGAGAGAGATGCATGAATGTTCATGGTGATCTACAAAGAGAGAGCAAAGAGTTTTACGAGTATATATGAGTAGAGAGTAAGGGGCAATTGAGGGGTTTCAGACACTTACAACGGCGAGAATGTTTTCTCGTATTAAGAATGACGATGTCAAGACATAGCCCATGAGACCCAATGCTCGGACCTATGTGGAAAACATAGGCAAGATTGAGTAGTACAAATGGACATAACCGAGATGCCATTGATTCAACATGTGAAGAAAGAAACTGTTTTTTACCATCATGCACAGGAAAATAGAGAGACGCCAGCTTGCTCGTAACCTGAAATTGATGAACACGGGAAAAAATAAATAACCGGAATAAGTATAATCAAATCAATCGATCACTTCTAAAATGTACATTTGTGATTACAGAGCAACTCAATGGCCTTGTGCTATAACCAAGAACAGGATATCAGTACAAGATCGTAAAAGATTACAGTTGTCATACCTCCACATAGAACCCATAGCTAGCCCAACAAGACCATGAGTAAGCTACAAAAGAACGAATTCCACAAATCAATGACACAAGAATGGGAAAACCCAAAACTAAAACGGACTGGGATTAGGGCGATACAGCAACTACAAAGATGTGAATGTCCAGTTTTCAGCATTAAATATCTAAACATACATGACAAAAACTCTGCTCTGCAAACTACGAAGAGGACACTTACCAAATACGTTAACGCTTTCACGGGACCCGACAGGATGAATAACAGCAAGACTGTAGCCACCTGAGGAACAAAACAGATTCCACAATCACGGGAATGAATCAACGGAAAGAAAATGTCTCAATGATTGAAGACTCGGCTGATTTTGGGATTCTTGAATTCTGTTTTCAGGATGAATCAGGGAAGCTCTTTACACACACCATGGTTTTCCTGCCAGCTGAAATGCCCCATCTTATAGATGATATTACAATAGGCAATGAGAAGAAGCAGCCGAAGTAGTTCTGCATCAAACACAAGTTTAACTCTCAGATAGAATGGATGCAAACACATGTTTTGTCAGACAAGTGATCGTAAAGACAAAAGAGCAACTGTTCTTACATTCCCTTAGTATCAAATTCCAAAAAACAAAAACCCTTTTTTTTTTCTATTCACTACAGAACACCATATCATCGGTTTCTTCACGACAGCTCCAGAACTTGAGACATCCAAACTGAGCCTAACAGATTCAAGCTAATGAAACGACCATTAAAATCGAACGAAACCCAATTATCAACTTTCAGGAAGAACCGGGATTACTGAAAAGCCTACTCGAGTTTCTCTTCATCAACAAGGAAATTGCTTAAATTTAGAGAATTCGATTTCAAATTCCAACTGAATCGAAGAACTGAAAACCTCGATGGCGAGGGAATTGCTGAGAAAGTAAACGAGGCCGGTGACGGCGGCGAACATGGCGCACTCAACCAGTCTCAGCGTTTTCTGGTAAACGACGCCACCTCCGTCCGCTGCATTGCCGGAATCCTCCTCCTCCGCATCGTATTGATTTCCGGGAATCGAAGCTCCGGTGCCAGAGACGCTCGAGCGCGGTAATCGTCCGTTAGAGAGAGAAAGCGAAGGGAACCGGAGACTGAAGCTCGGTCTTTGTAGAGAGAGAACGTGAGAGGAAGCAGAAACAAGGGACTGGGTAGGGGCAAAACGGCAATATCGAAGAGGCGAGGTATGGCGATGGTGAGTTCTGAGGAGAGTCATGGAGGAGAAAGAGGAAGTCACGAAGAAACGAGCTTCGTCAATGGCTACTGGTTTTCCTCCATTACCTCAGCTCTGTGTTGCGATAAAATGTTGCAAAAAAGCCCCTGTAGTTTGATTTAATCTCATTTATCGTTTAAATAGAGGGATATCTCTGACACTAAAACATAAGTTGGGGTAAGAAAATTGCAAATGTAAGAGTTTCGGGCTTTTGGTAATTTGTTGCTTTTATGCCGAAAAAGGAATAGAAAACCCGGACGGAGAGAAAACAAGCAGCTTCTCTTTTGCTGAATCAAATCCATGGCGGTGATCGGTCCGCCCACGCGCATATCGCCGTCTAAAAGAACCGCCTCTTCGACGGAAAAGCTGCTCCGACGTCGCGGATCGTCGTGGTTCGGTGTCAGAAGACCAATCTCCGACAAAATTAGACCAGTGGGTTCCATGGAATCAACCAATCACGTCTCTTCCACCGGTGCAAGGTATGGACTATGTATCGTGTTGATCTGCATTGCCTGTGGAGAAACGACCAGATATTCTCTCGAACCGTTAGAATTGGAACCGTTGCCTTGTATGAATCGAGCCAAAATTCAAATTTCGTCATCTGTCAACAGTTTGGGCAGGAAAGTTAAAGGATACAGATCAGGGATAATAGAGCAAGAGCATTGATGAATGTTTGATATATAGTTAGATTTAGCTTTCTCGTTCACCATTGAAATATTATCTTTGATTTTGTAACAATAGCTTATTGTTGAATTCCCATCTAATTCCTGAATTCCACAGACTGATCGGACCAGAACACTGCATGAAGCATGTTTTTGCATCCCCTAACTTCACACGGAAATGAATACAGATGTGCAAAGTTCTTGGTGGAGGGCTTAGAGGTATTGTGTGTGTGTGTGTATGTATCTGCGGCTGTAATCTACAAAGATTTTGGCTTTTTCTACTTTACTAGTCATGAATCAAGGCTCAGTTTGCAATTTCACTGTCTGCAGCTGAAGAGATCAAAATAGCTTTTGCGAGAGTATGTAAGCAATGCTTCAGTAGAGGCAAATCTTGTAAAGGATTTTTGACTAAGGTAAGCATGAGTTTTGAGTTTACAACCAGACATTGTTCAGCTTCTATCAGGTTTTGATGATACGTTAACAACAATGCTCGGTCCGCTTACTATGTTACTGTTGTCATCTAGGTTGAAATGATCCTCCAAAGCATTAGAACATGAAACAGGTGAGCCATAGATTTCCTGTCTTGTACCCTTGCTTTGTCATTCCGATATGCCGTTTTTGACGTTTGAACATTGTAACAGAACAAAGTGCCTCCTCACCCGAGTTCGAACCCCATCCCAGGCTACCCATTACCAAAAAAGAACATTGTGACAGAAGAGAGCCACTCCTCCATTTCCATTGTCCAATGTAGGAAAGTTTCAGACCGAAATCGGAAAGAGCTGGGCCGCACAGATCAACTCGAGAAGAAATCATCGATTGGCGAACAATATGCAAGTAGTTCATCTCCCATTCTCTCGTTGTGACTGTCAAGAATCGCAGCTTCCACAATGTACAGGCCTCTTCTTTTCCACAGTTTCTGGTTTTAGGGTTTATAAATTTGCTAGTAACATATACTGGTTTTTAGATTTATGCCATTTCCATTGACTCCAAAAACCCATCTGCTTCACTGGTCAAAGCTTTATTCATGGGAAAGTACATCAACTTTGATATTGAGTATATTCAAGATTCTTGATCAAACCCATATCTCTAGGGCAAGGCAAGGGTTTAGAACATATCAATCTCCTTGAGTTGTATCTCTATGCTCTTGTCTGAAACCAGAGCCAAAGCCAGCTGAAAATATTCTCTCTGCTCTCTCCTCCTCAGAATAGGATTTGATCTCAATGGCACACACGTGTCAACGCCTATGCATACATGAATATACCTATATATATACGTATTGTATAATTCCAATTCCACCGACAACAAAAAAAAAAAAGGAAAGGAAAATTACTCCAAGACCCTTCTCCACATGGACCTTGGAGGGTAATATATGATCCTTGATCACGTGTTCACATTGCCTTCTTTTTTTTTCCCTCTCTTCTTACCCTTTTGGTCGGAGTTTTTTCTTTTACTTGTGGATTTCTTCACAAGTAGGCAAGTGAAAATGGAGAATGCCACGTGGCAAAAAAACAGAACAAAAGTGGGATATATAAATGTTTGGAATCTTTGTTTCACGGGTCGTTACAAAACAAAAAGGATTAACATTTTATGAATGAATTTTTTATGGAGAGCATATTTTTATTATTGCCGATTTAGTTTGCATTAAATAGTGCAACTGACTCGTGTTTAAATTATACATTTAAAATACTAAATTGAAGTAAAAAAAAAACAGTAAGAACTTTGTCTGGTTTACGAAAAAAAAATGTGTTATTATCCAATTTTTTCCTTTTAATTGTGGTGAATATCAATGAACTGCGAGTCTTCGATCTCATATTGAACATAAACGAATAATAAATATTAGTACTCGTCTTTCCTTTAAACAAATAATTTTACGCAATTGAAATATTAAAATAATAGTTTTTTGGAGTGATCAAAGTCAATCAACTTGAGGTATGCATATATATATAAATATATGTATATAAAATTTTAAATATGATGCAACATGTGATTAAAAAAATTGAAAAGTAGTGAAAATGACAAAAGACTGACTTCTTATGCATAAATAAAATTCAGATTTTGCTGTGAACAAATCGGAACTTAAGTTAATACGAAAAGATCTTTTTATCGCATATTACATTTTTATTATTTAGATATAAGATTTTTTTTAAACACAGGTTTTTTCCACACACAAAAAAAAAACTTTTTGCGGTGAAAATTCGAATATTTTTCTGATTCTAAAACCTCAAAATCATTACAATGTTTGCTAAAATTGGAAACTTTTGGATATTTTCTGTGAAAATTTTGGACTCAGATGAGGAAATTTCCCCTAAAAGGATTAACATATTTTTTTGTTCTTTTTTCCGTTTTCAGTTAATTGCTTTATCAGTGCCGGTGGTATGGTAGTTTACGTCAACCAAAAAAAAAAGGCAAATCTATCTATTGATTTAATGACAGAACTCTGATTTCTTGACCGTTGATTTGTCGCCTGAAGCAAAGCATCTTCACAGAAACATTAGAATGATATTATAAGACGATTTCGTGAAAACTTTCAATATGATTTTCTAGTTTTTTTTTTCCCTATCGCTGATTCGATTCATCGTTGTTTTCTGGTCTTTTTCTCAGTTTCTTCTGCTCAAACTGGAGAGAGACTGAGGCTTCAAGATTCGAACTTTTTGCTGCGGAATTCGAAGAGGTAAAAGAGAGAGAAAGAGTTCGCACGAAGAAGGAGAAGAAAAAAACTTACTTGGGGTTCACTGGTTGAATCAAAGCTGGATTCTGATGTTTCAAGCAGAGAGATTTTTGAGTTGTGACGTCGGAGAAAGCCTCTCAGAGATCTGAAGTTGTTGCATTTGCCATCGATTTGCGAAACCTCAGTGATCTGGTTTCGTGGGTTCTCTCTCTGGGTGATCTGGAATCTGGGATTCGGAAGCGAATTTGGTGATCTGGGTTTTGCTCAGCAGTCGATTTCTCGATCTGGGTCGGTTTTTATCTGATGAAATAAATCTCTTCGTGGTTGTCTGCTTTGTGTTGAAGCTCCTGAGTTGAGTGATTTAGGGTTTAACCTTAGAACAGCTGGGTGTGATCTTGAAAGTTGATGTTTCTTTTACGTTAGGAAACAGTGATTGGTGATCTGTGGTTTAGGGTTGGTGAAAGTTTGGTTTGTTGGGGGTACTGTCAGAATCAAGACTGGGAAATTCAGATTCAGATTCAGATTCGGCTTTATAATTTTTTCATAGAAAGTGATCATCTTTGCTTTCTCATTGAAAGAAACAGTTTTTGATGCATTTCCAATTAGATTCAGACCAGTTTAGGTTATATAACTTCTGTAGATTTGGTGTTTAGATTGAATGGCAACAGGTTTGTTGGGGGTACTGTCAGAATCAAGACTGGGAAATTCAGATTCAGATTCAGATTCGGCTTTATAATTTTTTCATAGAAAGTGATCATCTTTGCTTTCTCATTGAAAGAAACAGTTTTTGATGCATTTCCAATTAGATTCAGACCAGTTTAGGTTATATAACTTCTGTAGATTTGGTGTTTAGATTGAATGGCAACACCTGCTCCACCTCCTGCTTCAACTCCCTCGGCTGAGCCACCGACTGCCATCATGGCTTCCCCTCCTGAGCCAAGTGGCAATGTAGGTAACCCTCCGATGCCTCCAGCTCAGCCACCGCCTCTGGCCACTCCGCCGGCTCCTCCGCC